ATTATACAACCTGTATAACTCTACATCATGTACAATCAGAAGAATGAGAAGTTACACTCCATTTATGTATGATGTGTCAAAATGCATTCTAGTGTCTTATATAAATAATTAAAATAAATAAAAGAAACAAAATCCAAAAATAAATATAAATAAATATATATATTTAGAACATGATTGCTTGTTATCCAAAATGTCTATATATACTTTTCATTTATTTGAACTGTTTATTTCCCATAAAGTAGAGAAGTAAGTTAACTATACTTTCATGCATATACAAGTTTGTTCAAGCATTAAAACAGGTAGTTGTATTCCCTCCCATATCCATTTTATAGTAAGAGAGGCCATACAAAGTAACTCTTTGTAATAACTTGATGGGTAATGGCAATAAGATTCCCACATGTGAAGTCTTAGTGTTGGGTTTTGTTGAACCTGAAAACAATCATAGCTTACGTTTTAAATAACATACTTGAGATGTACCCCCCAAACAATTAATATAATATAAACACTTTAACTCATCACCCAGCTTAAAAAATAAATTACCACAAAACTGATATCCATGTGTATCTCTCCTCTTCCACATAGCCTATATTATAGTTCCCCTATAGAATTAATAAATCCTGAGTTGTTTTTTCCTCCTCTTCCTGTGTTTCTATGGCCATCCCTAAAAGATAGATAATTTTTATATGTTTTTAAACTTTGATTTAAATATTCTTTAGCTTCTTGTTTTCAGTTAATTTCTTAATGTTTATGTAATTTATTCATGCTGATGCATATAGATAATTTATTTTTACTGTTGGGAATAATATTTCCTTGTTTCAGAATGCAGACTGTACTTATCCATTCTCCTGTTGATGGACATTTAGTTATTTCCAGCTTTTGGTTAGTAAAAATAATGCTGCTATGAATATGATCATACAAACTACTACTTGGTTGATAAATAATAACAAAAGTGAAAACAACATAAAAGTTCATAAATTGATGAATGGTTAGATAAAATAATGGAATATTATTCAGCTATAAAAAGGAATAAAGTACTGATACATGTTCTAAAATGGATGAACCTTAAAAACATTATGTAAGTGAAAGAAGTCAGTCACATAATACCACATAGTGTATGATTCTATTTATATGAATATCCAGAAGAGACAAGTTCATTGAGACAGAAGGTAGATGAGTGGTTGCTAGAGTCTGAGATGTGGATAATAGTGGCTGTTAGTGGTTTTGGGGTTCGTTAGGGAATGATGAAATGTTCTAAAGACAGATCATGATAAGATTGTGCAACTGAATATATTAATAAAAACATTGGGCTATACATCTTAGATGTATGAGTTTATGTTGTTTGAACTATAGAAGTTAAGAATAATTTACAGTCTTTTTTTCAAAATCAATCCACTAGTAGATTGTAAGCCATTTTGGAGGGTCACTAATAGAATTTATTTTTTTAAAAAATGGGAGCAAAAGGGTAGCTCACAGATCTTATTTAGGTGTATCAATTTCATGAAACATATAATCAAATAAAAATAGTTTGGGAGAGGGTTAGTTCTGGGGATTGAATCCAGGACCACTCTACACACTAAGCTAGATGTTCCCTTTGTATTTTGAGACAGAGGTCTCACTTAGTTGCCAAGACTGACTTCCAACTTGTGATCCTCTTGCCTCAGCCTCTCATAGCTGGGATTATAGGTTGTATACCTGTAAGGTGCCAAGCTTAAATACCATGCTCTTGATGATTACGAATGCATAGTATTTGCACACAAGAGGTCCTCAATAAAATTTTGATACTTAGGTGTTACTATTTATTTGGGTGACTAGTGATTAAGGTGAAAGAAGGGTAGTTAGGAATGAGGATTATACCAGAAATGGAAACCATAAAGTTGAAAGAATCCATAAATATAAGAAACATTTTAAACTTTTCTGTGTCAGCTCTCTCAATGTTGCCCAGGCTGGCCTCAAACTTGCCGTCCTCCTGCCTCCTGAGTAGCTGGTATTGCTGTTGTGCACTACTGTGCCCATTACTTTTTCCCCCCTCTCCCTTTTGAACAGGAATAGCAAATTCTTGAGGCATGAAATAGATAATGAAGGGTTTAAAAGCATAGACTGTTTTGGAATTCTCCTTTTTTATTCTAGGAAGAATAATCTTTAGTTTCTAATGTTAATTAACTTCGATTTCCAATAGCATTTTTTTCAGATTTTTATACAGTCTTTTAATGCTCATCAGAGTTAAGAGTGGTCTTGAATTCTTTAATGTTGTCATTTTATTTTTCTTTGAAGATCTAATGGTAACTGTCTCTGTTTCCTGAAATTTTCTTTTTGTTTTGATTTTTTTTTTTTTTTTTATGACAGGCTTTTTTCAATTGTTTGATTTTCTTAATGGACATCATGTAAAAGGAGGCATTGCTTAAAAACCTGGATAACTTGAAAAAGCTAAGACTATGCAAGGGTCAGAGGAAATTTAAAACTACAAATAATATCCTTAAGATTGAAAAAAAGGAGGCAATACATCATTGAAACAAAATAGAAATCTTAAAAAAATGTTCAAGAGGAAAAAATGATAATTTAAAAAGTTAGAAATTTAAAAGACAAGTTAGGGGGCTGGGGATATGGCTCAAGCGGTAGCACGCTCGCCTGGCATGCGTGCGGCCCGGGTTCGATCCTCAGCACCACATACAAACAAAAATGTTGTGTCCGCCAAAAACTAAAAAATAAATATTAAAAAATAATTCTTTAAAAAAAAAAAGACAAGTTAGGAAGATAAATCTGAAGAGTAGAACAAAAACTAAAGAGGTAAAGAAAAAAATTAATGGAGCATGCCAGAGGGTTCAGTAGCTGCAAAGATAGTTCTAAAGAGAATAGAAATAAACAAGAGGATTAAATTTTCAGTGAAATACAGGAAATTTCCCCAAATTGAATATGAGTCTGATTTGCAAGGGAACACAAGGTACTTAGCAAGATAAACTCCCCACTTTTTTAAAGTTGTAGACGGACACATAATATCTTTATTTTTATGTGGTGCTGAGGATCAAACCCAGTGCCTCACAAATGCAAGGCAAGCATTTTACCACTCAGCTACAGCCCCAATCCTGCAGGATAGACTTTTTAAAAAACCATTCAGAAGGGCTAGAGTTGTAGCTCAGTGTACAGCACTTGCCTAGCATGTGTGAAGCACTGGGTTTGATTCTTGGCACTGTGTATAAATAAATAAAATAAAGGTTCATCAACAAATTTAAAAAAAAATTTTAATTTCAGAAAACTTTAGACCGTAAAGATAAAAGAGAAGATCTTTAAAAAATAACTTTTCAGAGAGAAAAACAAGCCCTCTTTCCAGGACTCAAGAAGCTAAAGGTCAACAGAGATGTATTTTATACTTGAACTAAAAATTAAGGATGAGGATAAAATAAAGATTTGATACATCCTAATAAATTTACCTCCCATGCACCTATTCCGCAAAGTTACCGACAAATATATATGTTACAAACGAGTAAATTAAGAGAGAACTGTGGGATCCAGGATTGGAAAATCCAAAATACAGGACAGTGGTAACTTTAAATTTTTTTTTAGTTGTAAAAGAACTTAATACCTTTTTTTTTTAAGTATTATTTTTTTTTAGTTGTAGTTGGATATCATGCCTTTATTTTATTTATTTATTTTTATGAGGTGCTGAGGATGGAACCCAGCACCTCACGTGTTAGGCAAGTGCTCTACCACTGAGCCACAACTCCAGCCTCCTGCCCTTCAAGATTTAACACATACCACAAATAGAGGATGGTTAGACTGACCACCAAAATCTAAATCATTAATCATGCTTGCCTACATGTTTCTTATTTCTCAATAGTCCATATAACTGGTTTTGTATTTTTTTCTGCTAAATTGAGTTTTTGAAAACGTAAATAAATATTTTTAAATGGGGATTAAATTTTCTTTTCACAAAACTTTCAAAAGGAATGCTAAGCCAGGCGTGCTGTTGCATGCCTGTAATCTCAGCAACTCCATAGTCTGAGGCAAGAGGATGCCAAATTCAAGGCAAGCCTCAGCAATTTAGAAATACAGGAAATAAAAAATTAAAAGGAGAGCTCGGCATGGTGGCATAAGCAAATAAAATAAAGGACCATCAACAACTAAAAAAAATAAAAATAAGAAAAAGTATTCATGGCCAAGACTTAGACGGAAAAGCCCCAAAATGTTAATAGTTGTTCAGACTAGGGGTGCCTTTAAACAAGTGTTTTCCAGCAGTTCTACATTTTATTTGTTATTTTTACAAATGAGGGAATATTTTGACCCCTATCTGGTAGTCTAACTTTAGGAAAATAATTATAGATACAGAATAAACATTATCCAGAAATATTCAACACCTTTATTTTTAGTAATGAAAAATCATATAAAAGTTAAATGTTCAGGTAACTAGAATGTGCCAAAGTAAATGGTGGTATTTCTGAATGAACTGTGTTAAGATTTAAAAGATTACCTAAAAATAACGAAAGATAGAATAGAAAAAGCAGGAAACTGTTTATGCAATATATGATTACAGATAAATATTTTTATAAATTTACAACAATACTAGAGGAAAATCAGTAATTTCTCAGTGACTATATTTAGACATTAAGATTCAGGTAATTTTTCCCCTTTGTACTCTTGTATATTTTCCAAATTTTATTTAGTTATCAGGTATGAACTAACTTTATTTTATTTTATTTTATTTTTTTAGTTTTCAGTGGACACAACATCTTTGTTTGTACGTGGTGCTGAGGATCGAACCCAGGCCACACGCATGCCAGGCGAGCGTGCTACCGCTTGAGCCACATCCCCAGCCCATGAACTAACTTTAAAAACTAGTTTTTTCCCTAACACAAAGTAAAGCTATAGCTATGGTTTTTAGGCTCCTACTTGATAAGATTTTTTTTATATGTGTCTCAAAATTGGGGGGGGGGGTTGCTAATGATATTTTCTTCAAGCCCTCTTTTCTTTGGTTTATATGGAATAAATGTATTTGTGTCATTTCTTAGATCTGAAACTCAACACCGAGGCTCTGCTCCCCATTCTGAGAGTGATATACCAGAGCAGGAAGAGGAGATTCTAGGATCTGATGATGATGAGCAGGAAGACCCTAATGATTATTGTAAAGGTAAGTTTGTTAGGGGATACACAGTAAGATTTCCCATTACTCATTTGGATATTTTGTCTATCAGAATAAGCACAGTTTTAATGCTTTTCTTGAAGTTACAGGAATAGTGTTTGCTCTTGATTTGATACAAGGCATCAAAGCCAAATTTTATATTAAATGTTTATTTCTTTTTTAAAATGTTAGTACATATTACCTTAGAAATTTTCAGACATATATTAAATAGAAAAGAAAAGCTGTGGGCTGGGGATGTGGCTTAAGTGTAGCGCACTCACCTAGCATGTGTGAGGCACTGGGTTTGATTCTCAGCACCAAGTAAAAATAAATAAAGATATTGTGTCCATCTAAAAAAAAAAAAAAAAGAAAAGCTGTTTTCAGTGCTGTAAACAAGTATAATATTTTGGTGTGTGTATATACTTTTTTAAATACCTTATTACTTTTTTCTCATCTCATGATAACTGCTTAGATAAGTTAAACTGGAATCACAGGTACATAAACTATGTCATCAGATTGCTTCTATCTGTTCTGTTTCTTGGTGAGATTTCTCAGGATCCTTGAGGTAGGAACTTATAATCGAATATATTGTACTATCTAGGATAAGAAGTTGCTTGCTGAGTTCATATATTTATTTATTTTAGTTATAGTTGGACATAATACCTTTATTTTATTTATTTATTTATTTATTTATTTTATGTGGTGCTGGGGATCGAACCCAGTGTCTCCCATGTGCTAGGTGAGCGCTCTACTGACAAGCCATAACCCCAACCCCAATCTGTTGGGTTTTGAGTGGCAAAAGTAACCTTATACAAAACCTTATTTTTGGGGATGGGGTTCTTTTGAAGAGCATCACTTGCTCAATTTAGAATCTTACTAAGATTTTATGGGGCTAGGAAAGATAGTAGAATGAATCAGACATTATTAACCTATGTATATATATGATAAAACAACTGGTGAGATTCTACATCATGTACAATCAGAAAAATGAGAAATTGTACTCCATTTATGTGTGATGTATCATAATGCATTCTATGTCAGGTTTCCATGGAATCTCTATACTACTTTCCATATTGGCTGCACCAATTTGCAGTCCCACCAGCCATGTATGAGTACTTTTTTCCCCACATCCTCGCCAACACGTGTTGTTGTCTGTCTTCATAATAGCTGCCATTCTGACTGGAGTGAGATGATATCTTAGAGTAGTTTTGATTTGCATTTCTCTGATTGCTAAAGATGATGAGCATTTTTTCATATATTTGATGATTGTATAATTAAAACAAATTTTAAAATCTTAAGATTTGTTTGTAACATAAACTCAATAATACTGTGTGGCTAATTTGACATATAAGGTTTGACATATAATCTATTGAATTGATTTTATAGGAGAAACTTTTGATAAAAGGCATATAAATGTTCAAAAATGGGATATAAGATACCTTTTGTTACTATTTTATTCTCATCCTGGTTCTTCTTATATTCTTTCTCTTTTTCCTTCCAGGAGGTTATCATCTTGTGAAAATCGGAGATCTGTTCAATGGGAGATATCATGTAATCCGAAAGTTAGGCTGGGGACATTTCTCAACAGTGTGGTTATCATGGGATATTCAGTAAGTTTTACTGGTCCTTAAAAAAAATTTTAGTTAAATGATACCTCCATGTTTTTGTCTGATTTCCCAGAGATGGTCTGGGCTTCAGTCTGTCTATCTCTAGATTGGTTGGTTGATTTCTTTTCCATATATATGTGGGAGAGTTTAGGGGCTTTTTTTTTTTTTTAAGACTGATTTCTTGAACAGAATTTTGTTGTTGAAAGTAATCGTTTTGGGGGGCAGGGAGGTACCAGGGATCAAACTCGGAGGCACTCACCACTGAACCACATCCCCAGCTGTATTTTGTATTTTATTTAGGGGGAGGGAGTCACTGAGTTGATTAGTTCCTCGTTTTTGCTAAGGCTGGCTTTGAACTTGTGATCCTCCTGCCTTAGCTTCTCAAGCCACTGGGATTATAGGCGTGTGCCACCATGTCTGGTGAAAAGTAATCTTTATGTTCTTGGACAAATCACTTTTCTGGTCATCAAGAATCAGTAATATATATTCTTCCCCACCTTGGGCACAGGAGATTGATTAAATTACTATCAGCAAAATACTTGGAGCTCCCAAATTCAAAGCCTTGCCAAATATTCAATTGTGTGTAAATTAATAATTGTCTTCTCACTCAAGTATTGTTAAATTTTTGGATAATGTTAGACCAACCTTTGTGAAATTATTTTTGTAACAGATTTGGTCAATTATGCACTTAAAATTTTTCTTTATATAAAAATTATAGACAATAAAAATACCTCTGTAACATTGAATATTTAGCTAAGCATATATCATCTTTTATTTACTTTTATGACTTACAAGATTTTATTTTATAAAATAAAGTGTTTTACATCCTGTAGACCAAAACCAATTTTTCTTTTAACTGAATCTTTTTTGTCACATTTTCAATACTTAGACAAAACATCACTGGGGCAAAAAAAAACAAAACAAAACAAAAAACCCTCAGTGTGACTACGCCTGGCTGAGGCCCTATCTTTGATGAGACAGTAATTGCTATCTGTGTACCTCACTATATATATATATATATATATATATATATATATATATATATATATATATATATATATATATATTTGTGTTTGTGTGTGTGTGTTTGTGTTTTTGTCATTTCTGGGCCACATCTCCAGCCCTTTTGCATATTTTATTTGGAGACAGGATCTTGCTAAATTGCTTAGGGTCTAGGTAAGTTGCTGAGGCTGACCTTAAACTTGTAATCCTTCTGCCCCAGGCTTCCAGGCCGCTGGGATTATAGGCATGAGTTACTGCGCATAGCTTGTGTCATTTTGTTTTCATCCAAGTATTCCTTTTGGTGCTCGCTCGCTCTCGAGCGCGCTCTCTCTCTCTCTCTCTCTCTCTCTCTTTTGTGCTGGGGATCAAACCCTGAGCTTTGTGCATGCAAGGCAAGCACTTGACCAACTGAGCTACACCCCCAGCCCTCTTCTGGCTTCTTGTAGTAAAGTGTGATATAGCTTTTATCCTTTTAACTTTTGCCATATAGATGTGTACGCAGTACTTCTGATTTGATGAGCTTTTTCCTCTTATTTGTTCTAGTTTCTTGGTTTTACTTGGAATTCAGGGGGTTATTAAGAAGGTAGATTTAGCTTAGAGAAAAGATTCAGTGACAGGTTATCTGAGGATAGATTGTTTTCTTCCTGTAAATAAAATCTGGGCAGTGCCTTTAATAGTTATAAGCAATCCTCTACTTTTGTCTACAGGGAAATATGAAATCAGTATTTGTATTTGTTCACTGTGTCTCAGTTATAATAAAATCTTAGCTTCCAAAAGTGAGAGTAGGCTGGGTTCAGTGGCACCTGTCTGTAATCCCAGTAGCTCAGGAAGCTTTGGCAGGAGGGTTTCAGAGTTCAAAGCCAGCCTCAGCAATGGTGAGGTGCTAAGCAACTCAGTGAGACTGAAGTGCCCCTGAATTCAATCCTCCGTACCAAAAGAAAAAATTGAGGGCAGCATGTTTAGTCTTAATTGCTTATGTTTGTTTCTTAGAGGGAAGAAGTTTGTGGCAATGAAAGTAGTTAAAAGTGCTGAACATTATACTGAAACAGCTCTAGATGAAATCCGGTTGCTGAAATCAGTGAGTATTATATTTATGAACTGCAAAAAGCATTATAAAGTTTTATAAGATACTAAGTGGTAGACTCTTTAACATGGCAAAATTTTTAGTATACTTCTAATAGCCTAAGGAAATTGAGGAAGAGGACAATATTTGCACATTCTAGTCATGTAGTTGGGAATTGTTATGACATGCTGTTGTAAGAATTCTCCCTACGCAGAGAGAGACCCCCAAAATTTTTCAAACAGATCTTTATTGAGCATGTTTTGTATGCCAGATCATGGTAAGAATACTCCCTATACACACAGACACCCAAAAATTTTTTCAAACAAATAAAACTTTATTGAGCATGGTTTATATGCCATAAATATTTATGTCTTCTACTGTGGTTAAAAGGAAAGTTATGTGATTACATTTAGAACATCTATTTTATGTTTAAAAATATGTAACATAAAAAATAAATACTGCATTCATTAATTCCATCTTAACCTGGAAACTTGAGCAGATTTTATCCAAAAAAATTATCACTTTGTTACAAATTAAGAGGAAATCAGTGTGATAAAAATTAGAGAACCTGGATTTTGTTTCATCTTTATCCTGGTATCTTCTTTATCACTTCTTCTTTTTTTTTTTTTTTTTTTCTCTTTCTGCCCCTCAGTGTTTCATTCATTTTATGAATGTTGGACCAGGAAATCTCTAAGGCAGTGTGCCAGTTTATGATGAGAATAAGGAGCATGTGCCCAAAAGCAATTCAGTGTACTGCTTAGTTTGTTTGTTTGTTTTCTTTTTTCTTTTTTTTTTTTTTTTTTTTTGTGCTGGGGATCAAACCCAGGGCCTTGTGCATGCAGGGCAAGCATTCTACCAACTGAGCTATATCCCCAGCCCCACTGTACTGCTTATTTAAGAAAGTTTTTGGATTTGAATCCTGTGAAAGCTCCTTAATTCCTCATAACTTGGTAACCAGCAATTGATTTGGAGGCAGCACTTCAAGTTACAAAATAGTTGAATTAGAAAATTAGTGTATATATTTATAGGAGCCCATTTTGGAGTTGGGTTGCTACAGGTATTCTTCCTCTACCATTTGGCTTATTTCTGTGCTTTTTCCCTCTTGATGAATATTATCTCTTCCCTTTGTACAGGTTCGCAATTCAGATCCTAATGATCCAAATAGAGAAATGGTTGTTCAACTACTGGATGACTTTAAAATATCAGGAGTTAATGGAACACGTATCCTTTTAAGAACTTATTCTTAAATAAATCAGGAATTGACTTTATCCCAGAGAAAGGAGCTGGATTTGTACAAATTGCGCTTATGTGATTTCTTAGTAAATAAAATATAAAATTACCTTCTTTTATTGAACTTTTCTGATTTATGTCTATTTTTGTGTGGCATGCTTTTTCAGGATATTTTTTTGGGTTTCCATCTTAGAAAAATCAAAGCAAATCCAAAGGAACCATTTTTTAAAAAAAAAAATAGCTTTGTGTTACTAAATAAATATTCTATGATCTTTACCAACTATCACAGAAATTTTAGGGGAAGTAATTTTTTTGTGTGTGAAAACTAATAGATAAATAAGATTTTAAGTCATGATTTTATTTTTTCACCAGATCTTAATATTGAAGAGGCTGCAGATGTAGCTTTTGTTTTGAATTTGATTGTTTGCATTCTGTTGTAATGAAAAAACTGACTTATTAAATGGTTTTATATAGATTTTTAGAATTTTAGTGTTGGAGGGAACCTTAACTGATTTTCTTTCTTTATGTGTTTTTCGTTTGTTTGTTTTTAATTTTAGATGGACAACATGCCTTTATTTTGTTTGTTTATTTTTTATGTGGTGCTAAGGATTGAACCCAGTGCCTCACACATGCTAGGCAAGCGCTCTGTCACTGAGCTATAGCCCCAGGCCCCTGATTTTCTTCATAAGTTAACTGATCAATCTGATGTGCAGTGAGCTACTTGAAAGGTTATTGGTTAAGAAAGCCTGTCAGATTTTTCAAAATCTGAAAAATTCAGATTGGAGAATCTAAAATTATTTGTTAAGTAGCTAACCTAAAAATGGATAAGGAAGCCAGGAGTGGTGGCTACTAGGGAGACTAAGGTAGAAGGATAACAAATTTGAGGCCAGCCTGGGCAACTTAATGACACAGTGTCTCAAAAATAAAATTTTAAAAGATTTGGGGCTATAACTTGGTGGTAGAGTGCTTTTCCTGGCATGCCTCAGGTCCCAAGTTCAATTCATAGTAATACGCACACAAGCGAAGCTTAAGGAAAGACATGTCATATATCATTCTGTTTTTCATGTCTGTTTAGCTTTTCTGGACACACATTCTTAACTGGTGAGGGTTTTGTTTTTGTTATTGAGATGGGATACAAATGGCTGTGTAGTTTCATGTGCCTGTCGGAAGAGGTTTGGACAGATAAGCAGGAAGAAAGGATGAGGAAAAAGAGGTATTATCGTGAAAAGGCTTATCATTCTGAAGTTTTGAATCATTCCCTTAGAGAAGTACAAATCAGAAACCCACGATTATTAAGTAAAATCGCTGACATTCATCTTAAAACAGTATTTTACCTATTGTGGACACTTTGTAGGTGGTTCCATGTGTGTGCGTGAGAGTGTGTAGATGGTTCTGTGTGTGTGCGTGCGTGCCTGTGTGTTGTTTCAAAGTAATAAAAAGGTTATATAAAATCTATGCAGGGTGTCATGATAGCCATTAGATTCTGTCTTGTTATTCAGTTTTATAATGTTTGTCAAATTGCGCCAGATTTCTTTACTGATTTGGTAAAATTACAAGTAAAACTATAGAAATATTCTACATATTCTCCTTAGTAATATTGAGTACCTTTGTTGAACTATAAGGAAAAAGTCTTTTTTAAAAAAATATTTATTTAGTTGTAGATGGACACACAGTATCTTTATGTGGTGCTGAGGATTGAACTCAGTGCCTCACATATGCAAGGCAAGCGCTTTACCACTGACCTACAGCCCCAGCCCCAAGAAGGCTTTTTAAAAAATTATCAATAGATCTGAATTTCAAGTTTAAGGTATTTTTGAAATATTACTATGTGATTTCTGTTCACTTTTTAATTATTTTCTCCCCTGTACTTAACCATTTCTCTCTGTTCTTCCTCCTGCGTATCTCCCAGCTGTCTTTGCTTCTGCATTATTTGCTACTATTAGAAATTTAAAAAGATATTACTCAGAGCTGTGTTAAGGGTTAACTGATTATGTCATTCACCTATCTTTATCCCTTTTCACAGCATAGCACACCTACAGATGAAGCTGTATAACTGCATTTTTCTTTGTGTCTGAAAACTGCTTTTTTTCTAGATCATTCTTCTTTCTCATATTAAAATATAAAAGATCCTGAACTAGATACTTAGTATCGACTTCAGTATTAAATAAGTTAATTCTATTTCCATGGCCTTTAAGAAGAATTAATAAGGAATAATAGCTGGTATCTATATAATGACATTAAGCCAGTGAGTCATTATTGGCTACCTATACATCTAAGCCTTCAAGATGCCTTTTTAAAAAAAAAAAAAAAAAAAACTATGTACTTAGTCTCTTGCTAACTCCTCTTATTCTTAGTGTACCCTAAACATGGCTCTTTTTCCCCAGTATTTCTTATTGGTGCAAATTGTTGGATATAATGATGGTATTTGTTGTTATATATTTATACATGCACACAGTGTAACAGTATAATTTGGCCAATATCATTCCCTAGTATTTCCGGTTTTTGTCTCTCTCTCTCCCCCTGGCCCCTTTCTTCTGCATTACTTCTTCCTTTGATTTTCATGATCCTAACCATGGCTGTTACTCAGTGATGTTATTAGCCTTTTGTTGTTTTTTTCACACCTTCTCCTCAATTTGGGGTGGGGAGTACCGGGGATTGAACTCAGGGGTAGTCAACCACTGAGGCACATCCCTAGCCCTATTTTGTATTTTATTTAGAGACAAAGTCTCTCAGAATTGCTTAGCACCTTGCTTTTGCTGAGGCTGGCTTTGAACTCCTTCCTTTGCCTCCTGAGCTACTGGGATTACAGGTGTGACACTGCTCCCAGCTCCTCAATATATTTTATATATTTTTAAAGATGGACAACATCTTTATTTTTATTTATTTATTTTATGTGGTGCTGAGGATCGAACCCAGTGCCTCACATGTGCGAGGCAAGCACTCTACCACTGAGCTATAACCCCAGCTCCCTCAATATATTTTTTAATGTATTATTTTTGAGTTTAGTTATTACTGTTTCTTCTGACTTGTCATGTCAAACTTCTTTCACCCAAGTTATCTGACTCATCCATTTTGATCTATAACCAGTTATGACATTCTTCTATCCGTTTTTTTTAAAGCTACTAAATATGTCACGATTTTTATTGCTAAAAATTAAAACATGTCAAATTGTAATTTGTTTTTTCTCAACAATTAAGAGGATTGTAGCTGTAGCTCAGTGGTAGAGCACCCTTGGGTTCAAACCCCAGTACTGCTGGGGGTGGGGGTGGTCTTAAAATTTTTTTATCTTTTTTGTTTTGTTTTAAGCAGTTTGCATTTTTTAAAAACTTGTTTTGGTAAATTTCAAACAAAATAAGTAGAATAGTTTTATAAATCCTCACAGATCCATTACCCATTACAGCATTTATCTCATAACCAATCTTATTAGAGTGTATCTCTAAAAGACAAGGGATCTCAAAAATTATAACCTGAACAACAAAAAAGAAGACTAGTTTCTTGTCATCAAGTTTCTCTAGTCACAGAGTCAGTGTTTCAGTTTCTCCAAATGCTTCATGCTTTCTTTTCTCATTTTTTCCCTAATGTATTAAATATATTTTAACCATTCCAGCATCCATCATTATAACTTTCTTGCAGTGTCTTTTGTGTGAGTTGATTTTTTGTAAATTCCTTTTGTATTTCCTTTTGTGTAGACTATACTATGTGGTTACCACAGGGATTAGATTTACTGACCTAAAATCTTTGAACATTTTGAACAGATTTGAATTTATACGAGCTTAACTTCACTATCATACAAAAACTACTTTTAATTTTCTCCATGCTGACTCCTTGGTTATTGTTGTTACAGAATTATCTTTATATATTATGTTCCCCCAAATAAAAACTAGTAATTCCTTCAGAAGAATAGTGGTTTTTAATGTAGTTGGAGAGCACTTGTCTAGTATGCAGGAAGCCCTGGATTTGATCCCAAGCACCACCAAAAGAAAAAAGGGTCTTTAAATTATGTAGAAAACAAAATGTGGAGTTATAAACCAAAGGTACAGTAATACTAGCTTTCATAATTGCCTGTGTATTTACCTTGAGATCATTATTTTTTCATACGGCTTTTGAGTTTCTGTCCTTTCATTTTACTTTGTAGGACTCTGTTGAGGGTTCCTTGCAAGGTACATCTAGTGGTATAAATTCCACTATTCACTGTTGATATGTGAGTGTCTTAATTTCTCCCTCACTTTTTTTTTTTGTACCTGGGATTGAACCCAGGAGCCTCATATCCAGTCCTTTTTGTATTTTATTCAGAGATACTAGATACTTAGAGATAGGATCTTGCTGAGGCTGCCTTTGAACTCACCATCCCCCTGCCTCAGCCTCCCCAGCCACTTGGATTACAGGTGTGAGTCACCGCACCCATCTTCTTTCTCCCTCAGTTTTGAAAGATGGTTTTGCTAGAAGAGGGACAGTCTTTCTTTCACCACTTTGACTATATTGGCCCACTGCCTTCTAGCCTCCAACGTTTCTTATGAAAAATTTGCTGATAATCTTACATCTGACAGATCTCTTCTCGCAATTTTCAAGATTCTTTCTTTCTCTAGTTTGAGTATAATATACCTTGGTGTGAATCTTATTTTTGCTTGTCCTATGATGTGGATTTTTTGAGTTTATCTTATTTTTAATTCTCTGAGCTCCTTGGATGTTTATATTTGTGTCTTTCAGTAAATTTGGGACTTTTCAGTCATTATTTCTTCAAATATTCTCTCTGTCCCTTTCTGATTTTCTTCTAAGACTGCCATAAATGGGCCACTTCATTGTACTCTTATCTTTTCTTTCTGTTCCTCAGACTCAATATATCATTAACATTGTTCTGTCTTCAAGTTTGCCTATTCTTTTTTCTGCCTGCTCAAGTCTGCCTTGGAATTCCTCTAGTGAATTTTTCGTTTCATTTGTACTTTTGACCTCCAAATTTCTTTTCGGTTACTTTATTTCTTTCTCTTTATTGATAACTTGTTTTGTTCATACATCACTTTCTTGACTTTTTCCACATTAGTTGTTTCAAAGACTTTAATAGATTTGCCATCAGATCTTTTTTAGGAACAGTTTTTGTTTCTTTCAGATAAGCCACAATTTGTTGAAAACTGGACATTAACTCTTGCATGGTAACTCTAGAAATCAGATTCTGCCTCTTCTTCAGGGTTTGCTGTGCTTTTGTTTGGATTTTACTATCACAAAAATCTCTGTGAAGGATCAGCCTAAGACGTAAATTAATGGTCTTCTCAGGTTTTTTTGGAGAACCTGTATCTTTCTCTGGGCATGCATAGTAAATTTGTCAATGTATGCAATTGCTCTCAAACATTCCAGTCTTTAACTCTGGCTTCTAAAGGGGAATCAGAAAAATGAAGATGAAGAAAAGGGCAATGACCCTTTAAATCTCTGTAAGTCACTTGGTATGGCAGGGGCTTGAAGCAGTTAAAGGTGTAAAAGTGTATCTTTTTATACCTCATTTCTCTGATTAGAAGCTGTGGTCAGAGAACAGATCCTTGATGTTTAGTTCAGTATCCTTTTTGTGCACCCTGCCTCCTCCTGCAAGCTATGTGGCTACCTCCACAGGTCTGAAAGTAGGCAAATGGTAGCTGCTACTGTGCTGAAATTGACCAAAATCAACCACCATTTACCATCCAAGTCTTCCCTTGGAAGTTGAAAGCTTCCAGTATTTCAAATAATTACATCAGAAGGATCTTCCAGTGCAACACCTAGGAGAGAAATAGGTTACTGGGGTGGATTCCTGTTCCACCAGAACCCTCTCTGTTTGTTTGTTTGTTTGTTTTGAGTTAGGATCCACATGAGCTCTTTGGCAATTTTTTTTTAAATTTATTTTTTAATTATAGGTAGACATAATATCTTTATTTTATGTGGTGCTGAGGATTGAACCTAGTGCCTCACATGCTAGGTGAGTGTTCTGCCTCTGAGCTACAACCCCAGCCTGGCTTTCTTTATTATCTGGCTCATCAGGATGTTCCAGGCTTTTTTTGTACATTTCCTCTAGAATCAAACATTTCTCTAGTTCTATTTTGTGAGAAATGGCATCCAGAATCTTAAGCGCTACGCTTTGCTACTGAATTAAACATTGCCATTATTTTTTATGATGTCTTGATTTGTTGCAAAAAGTAGTGCCTTCCTTCTTCCCCTCCCTTTTTTGGGGGGTTGCTTGAGATTCCTCTCACAGCTTACTCTTGTGGCTGAGTAAATTTGGTTGTTTGGATTGTTTTTTCTCCATGTATCTCATTTTGAATGTTTTCAATTGCTGTAGCTTTTCACTAATTTTATTTTTATTCTTATCTGCCATTTATCCCATTCAGTGTATTTTCATTTCTTACATTGTACTTTAATGAGTTATAGTAATTTTGGATGTGTTTTCCTGCATTTTTGCTGCAATTCTAGAATAATGATAATAAGATAATGTAAAACATGTTTAAAGATAATGCCAAACATGTTGTTGACTGCTGGAAAGCTTGCATTCCTATAAATCTTGACCTTCATTCTTGGGTGCACAGTGCTTGATTTAGAGCTAAACATTCCTCTTTACTGAGTCAGGACCTTCCTGAATACTCTACCCAATGCCCTGGGACAGTTCTCTCTCTCTCTCTCTCTCTCTTTTTTTTTTTTTTTTTTTTTCTTTTCTAATATTTTTTAGTTGTAGGTGGACACAAGGCATATTCTTTTTTATTTTTCCTCTCTACCTCTGTTAGTTTCCTCACATACATGCACTTGTTAGTACTCTGCACAATACTTGAAGGGAACCCTCTGTAAATTCCCAAGTTCTCGGGGCTGGGGATGTGGCTCAAGCGGTAGCGCGCTCGCCTGGCATGCGTGCGGCCCAGGTTCGATCCCCAGCACCACATACAAATAAAGATGATGTGTCCGCCAATAACTAAAAAATAAATATTAAAAAAAAATTCCCAAGTTCTCTTCTATAGCTTTCTCCTCTTTGATGCCTTGTATAACTTCCTTGTCTCCCCAGACTTTCAGCTCGATCTACTCAACTCATAGGGTGACTAGAAAGTGTCAAGGCAGTATAGTGGGGGCAATCTTAGAATTTAACTCATTTGTTTCCTTCTTTCAGGGATTGTTGCTCTTGTTCCCCAGTGTCCACAGAGTTTTTTGTGTTTTTTTTATATTTTGTCTTTTTTTTTTTTTTTTTGGTTTTTTTTTTTGGGATGTGATCCTGTTGTTTTGATTTGTCATGTCCCATTAACCATCCTTTCAGGTCATTAACCTTTTTTTTTTCTTATTTGGTTAAGAATTTAGGCTAGTTATTAGTTTGTTTCTTAATTCAGATTTGTCTGATTATTAGTTCAGTTAATCAGTTTTGTTAAGTATGATAGATAATGTCTTATTCTCAAGTGTATTGTATCAGAGGGCAAACAGTGCAAATTTGTGTTTATCATTGGTAGTGCTAAGTTTGATTATCTCTTTGAATTCACTGTTGTAAAAAAAAAATACCTTGTTCCTTTTATAATTAATCTGTGAAGTGGTATTTTGATACTGTGATAATCATTTTCCCAATAGTCTTTTACATAGTAGTTTCATTGATTTTTACCTGAACCTATTATTATTATAGTGATTATAAAAATGATGATTTTTCTGTTTCCATCATATTTTGTATATTTATCATTTGACTGTCTTTAAAGAAGACATTTCCTTTCTGCCCCTCTCACACTAAAATAACATTAGTGTATGTACTCTTTTGTGGGAGGGGCAGGCAGTCCTGGGGATTGAACTAGGTGCTCTACCACTGAACTCTACATCCTTTTTTTTGTTATTTAGTTGTAGATGTACACAATACCTTTATTTTACTTATTTACTTTTATGTGGTGCTGAGGATCGAGCCCAGTGCCCCACCCGTGCTAGGCAAGCACTCTACCACTTAGCCACAACTGCAGCTCACATCTTTTTATCTTAATTGTAAGTCAGGTTCTCGCAGAGTTGCCCAGGCTGGTCTTAAATTTGTGATCCTCCTGACTCAGCCTCCCAGTTTTTTGGGACTACTATAAGCTTATGCCACTGCACCTGGCTATTTTTAGCTAGTCTGTTACTCATAACTTTACTCTTTAAAATAGTCATCTCTTTGGCAACTGCATTCTCTTCAAAATATTTCCCTTTTTTTTTTTTAATTCCCTTGTTTGGCACAGCAAGGTGTCCTAAGCTCATCCTGTATTTTTCCTGTCCCGTAGCCTTGCATCTAGCCATTTTTCTAATCAGTCCAGGCTTTCTTTTAGTGGCAAATATTATTTAAAACAAAAATCTGGGCTGGGGTTGTAGCTTAGTGGTGAAGTGTTTGCCTTATACACATGAGATGCTGGGTTCAATCCTCAGCACTATATAAAAATAAATAAAGGTATTTGATCCATCTACAGTTTTTAAAAAATAAAGGCATTGTGTCCTTCTACAACTAAAAAAAATTTTTTTTAATACCTGGACAGTGGGTTATTACTATGTTGTGTTTATGTCTTGACTATTTAATGTATGTTGAAACTTATGAGGATAGAAGACATCAACATAAGCCGAGTGCAGTGGCACACACCTGTAATCCCAGTGGCTCAGGAGGATCACAAGTTTGAAGTCAGCCTGGGCAACTTAGAAAGACCCTGTCCTGAAATAAAACAGGTTGGGGTTGTGGCTCAGTGGTTTAGTGCCCCTAGGTTCAACCCCTAGTACCCCTCACCCACCAAAAAAAAAAAAAAAAAAGATGACGACAACTGAAACTGTCAAAATCTCTGTGATGCCATGCACACTCAAAAGAGTATTCCTGCTCTGTGGTGTGATAAGAATGTTTGAATATAAAGAGTACACATGGTGGCACTAGGATGAAGGTTAGTTTATAAACTTTAAAGCATAAATCAAGTCAGTTTTCTATTTTTTTAAAAAAATATCGAGGGCTAAAGATCTATAGCTCAATGGAAGTGCTTGCCTGCACTGGGTTCAATCCCCAGCATTGTGAAAAAAGAAAAAGAAAAAAAGGTTGACTTTTTTTTTCTAGTTTTGGTATCTTATAATGCCTTGGAATCATTCAGGTTTTGTTTGTTTTACTTTGAGACTCTGATAGTAGGAACTATTAACCCTCTATGTTAGGGAAAAAACTGCTTTGCCTAAATCTCCTCAATAGCTTTAGCTTAGTGCTTGCGCTATGTGTGTGGGTTTTATTTCTTTTTACCACTGAGTTTATTAATATGTATAGTTTTTATCAAGAAACTAGCTCTTTCTCTTTTCATGGATTTTTTTTAGCAGTAGACCTTGGAATTTCAGAATATTGACAATCAAGCTCTATAACTTTTTGTATCAAAAGAAAACAATATGTAACATTTTCATTGTGGTGGAATCTACATCTTTTGTTTTGCTCTTTTCTTTTGTGCCTCCTTTTTATTCCTTAATGAACTCCTAGATATCTGCATGGTGTTTGAAGTTTTGGGACATCATCTGCTCAAGTGGATCATCAAGTCCAATTATCAGGGGCTTCCACTGCCTTGTGTCAAAAAAATCATTCAGCAAGTATGTCTCTTTCTCTTTGCTATGTGTGGTCTATTTTAAAAATCAGGGTTTTTTAATTGCTAAAATTAAGTTGTTTTTTTTTTTCCAGCCCGTCGGGTGTATTGTGTCTATCCTTTTTGTAATTATTGAAAATATCTAAATCTCCTTTACCTACATTTAAACAGTTAAAGGGTATGCTGAATATTTGTTGTCAGTCTTTATTTATTTATTTATTTATTTTATCAAGAGAAAAATATATACAATTGATTTATTCTGTAAGATAAAAATACATCATGCCATATACATGACAGGTGAGGCCCGCAGCACTGGCGCGCACAGCTCAGCCCACGCGACTGTGCACAGACGTCATCCTCCACGCTGTGAAGTGTCAGTACCAGAACCCGAGGTTCACAGCAAGAAGCTACCTGGGTCAAAATACTGATAAAGGTTCTACAAGCAAACACAAAACAGTGTGTGTTTTTATTAAAGAAATGTAAACAGTTCATACAAACACATTTTAAAATTACATCTTCGAAAAACCCTATTGCCGGAGTCCTGCAGATGCGAGCATGATCATCTCTCTTTTTTTTTCCTTTTTCAAATTTTTGTGTTAAATAGAAAGCTAAAGTTAGGTTAAGTTCCTGCTACATGATTCTATTATGTGTACATGATTCTCTGTTGTTGTCAGTCTTTATAATGTACCTAATTAAAGATTATGTCCAAAGAAGATTAACATTTAACAGGGATGAGAGGTGGGAGGGAAAGGGAGAGAGAAGGGAAATTGCATGGTAATGGAAGGAGACCCTCAGGGTTATACAGTGGAGGAGGTAGAGAGAGAGGAGGGGAGGGGAGGGGAGAGGTGGGGAGGGGGGAGGATGGGAAAGGCAGCGGAGCACAACAGACACTAGTATGGCAATTTGTAAATCAATGGATGTGTAACTGATGTGATTCTGCAATCTGTGCATGGGGTGAAGGTGGGAGTTCATAACCCACTTGAATCAAAGTGTGGAATATGATATGTCAAGAAATTTGTAATGTTTTGAACAACCCACAATAAAAAATTAAAAAAAAAAAATAAAATAAAATAAAGATTATGTCCAAATAGAATTAGCTTTATAAAACTTGGAAGTCTAGACCAATCTTCTATATTGTGTTTACAAATTTGCTGTATTCTCATTCAGGTGTTACAGGGTCTGGATTATTTACATACAAAGTGCCGAATCATCCACACTGACATTAAACCGGAAAACATCTTGTTGTCAGTGAATGAGCAGTACATTCGGAGGCTGGCCGCAGAAGCAACGGAATGGCAGCGATCTGGAGCTCCTCCACCTTCAGGATCTGCAGGTATATTGGGCAAAGAGGGGCTTTGCTCTCATTGGAAGTTTAGATAAATTTCTACCATTGTTTATTGCCAAGGTGTTAATAACACACTGTTTGATCATTTAACTGTAAAATATTTAAGAAAATAGATCAACCTTCAGGAGGCTTTTTTCTCATTATTCCTCTGAGATTCTTACAGACATGTTATATATTAAAATAGCTAATTTGTATTGTTGTATAAAGGTGTTATTTCTTTATTTCATGGCCATTTTTGCTGTGCTACTGCTTACCATGATCCTACATGATCACTTGTGGGTTAGTTATCTGCAGAGGAACAAGATAACATTAAGAACTTGGGCGGGGTGGTTTGGTAGAGGGGTGGTACCGGGAATTAAATTCAGGGGTGCTTGACCTCCGAGCCACATCCCCAGCCCTATTTTGTATTTTATTTAGAGACAAGGTCTCAGTTGCTTAGCACCTCACCTTTGCTGAACTGGCTTTGAATTTGTAATCCTCCTGCCTCAGCCTCCCAGGCCACTGGGATTACAGGTGTGCACCATTGCACCCAGCTAAGAGCTTGGGTTTACACACTAGGATGAGACTTTGATCTTAGCTTCACCATTGACTGGGAGGCTTTGGCTGGCTGACTTGATTTCAAAAGTTACCATGATTAAATTTCACATTGATACAGTTATGAGCATGCCACATAATAGTATATGTTGAATAAATTATGGTTGTGAACATTTTTTTCCATTTTAGTAGCTCGGTCATATTTGAGGAACTTTCTTGATATGCAGGTTCAAACAACAGTTATCATAAAGTTTCTTTAAAGGAAGAGCAAAAAAGAAGGAAACAAGAAGTTGAAACAAGAGTTTAGTTTTGCACAGTGAACAAGTTCTAGAGTTCTTTTGTACAACAATGTGGGTATAGTGAGCACTACTGAACTGTATATTTAAAAATGATTGAGGATACATTTTTCATTGTGTGTTTTTTACCGTGTTTATAAATGTTTTTTAAAGGAAAGACTAAATATCCTACCTAAATTAAACTGTTATTTATAATATATTCTATAGCAAATTACTATAGTTCTTGGTGTCACCTAGGCCCCCCTGCCCCACTCTTAAAATTGACAAGTTCCAAGGGGGAAGAATTTGGAGGTGGAAGTGCTAGTTGGGGATGAGGTGCTTGTTGCTTGTTACTTTCTATTTTAAATAGTGTGTGGGAATGGGAAAATAGATTATTTTAGCAGCATTAATAGTGGAAACCAGAAATTAGGACTTGGCCCCTTTGCGTGTATTAATGCTACCTGGGGAAGGATTCATTTTAACTTTTTTAAGGTTTGGCAACTTTTGTATGCATTATTTGTTTTCTTTAAAAATAATGATAATGTGGTTTCTACTGAAGTCCTTAAAAACAATAGGCTGTTCAAGAAAAACTTTTCATTTTGATTGGGTATCTTGCCTGCTAAATACTACTAGAATTCTTACTTGGTTTTCTTTTCTTTTCAGTCAGTACTGCTCCCCAACCTAAACCAGTAAGTATAAGGGGTTTCTATATTTAATTCTGATCAATGGGCTGTAGGCATGCATTCTTCTCTTATGGATAGTCTCTGTTTAAACAGAGTTTGGAAACCAAGGGAGAACATATTCCTGCGCTTCTGTAATTTTCTTCAGCAAATTCCCATGCATCTTCAGCAAATCTGTACTGGTGATGCTTCTGTAAATTTGAGTGTCGAGAGTAAACTAGCCCCACAGACCACTCAAAAGACCAAGATTTGTTGTTAATTTTATTCTCATTTGGTTTCATAAGAATATCTGCTGGTGGTTTTCTTTTCTTTTCTTTCTTTTTTTTTTTTTTTTTGGTCCAAGGATTGAGCTCAGGGGTGCTTAACCACTAAGTGACATCTGCAGCCCTTTTTATATTTTATTTAGAAATAGGGTCTCACTAAGTTGCTGAGGCTGGCTTTGAATTCGAAATCCTCTTGCCTCAGCCTCCCGAGCTGCTGAGATTACAGACTTGCACCACCACTCCTAACTGCAGCTTTTAAGTTATTGAAAAATCTTAGGGAAAGAATGAAATATAATTAGGAAGTATTTAAAGTTTCTCCAACTAGGGATAATGGATTAGCCACCTGAAGGCTTTATCTGTTTGTAATCTCCGCCCAGGCTGACAAAATGTCAAAGAATAAGAAGAAGAAATTGAAGAAGAAGCAGAAGCGCCAGGCAGAATTACTAGAGAAGCGAATGCAGGAAATTGAGGAAATGGAGAAAGAGTCGGGCCCTGGGCAAAAAAGACCTAACAAGCAAGAAGATTCAGAGAGTCCTGTTGAAAGACCCTTGAAAGAGAACCCATCTAATAAAATGACCCAAGAAAAACTTGGTATAAATAGAGCATCACAAAAATTACTTTATGGCACAATTTAACATTAATATATCATTGTTATATAATATAGTGGTTTCATATATAAGTACATCTCTGGGAGTATCCTTGTAAGGATTTAGATCTTTTCATAAACGTTAGGCAGGTGACATACAAATGTAATTTCTAATTTTTCTCAGGAATTAGAGCATAAACTTTGTTTAGTCATTGGGTAAGGATAAAAAGATCTTTGCTCTTCCATAAATAGGTTTTAGATATTTAATCATGTTTTTATGTCACTCAGTATAAGTTCTAGAAATGTTTAATCTTGTGAGAAATTGTTGTTTCACTCACATACATACACATGCGTCCTGTTTTGTTTGTTTGTTCCTTAGAAGAGTCAAGTTCCATTGGCCAGGATCAGACACTTATGGAACCTGGTGTAGAGGGTGGTGCAGCAGAAATTAATTGCAATGGAATAATTGAAATCATAAATTATACTGAGAACAGTAATAAAGAAACATTGAGGCTTAAAGAGGATCTGCATAATGCTAATGACTGTGGTGTCCAAAATTTGAAGCAGGAACCTAGTCTCCTAAGCTCCCAAAATGGAGACAGCAGCACAAATGAAGAAACAGACTCTTGTACACCTGTAACTTCTGAGGTGTCAGATACCATGGTGTGCCAGTCTTCCTCTAATGTAGACCAGTCATTTGGTGAACAGGACATCAGCCAACTTCAAGAAAGCATTCGGGCGGAGATACCTTGTGAAGATGAGCAAGAGCAGGAACATAATGGACCACTGGACAATAAAGGTATCCATGCAGATACACCAACACTTCTCCCCTGCACAACACATTCATGATTTCTAGACTAAAAAGTACCATTGTTTTTGTAACTACAGTTTTACAGCAGGTGTCCAAGTTCCTTTTAATATGTAAAGCAATAGCTAACTTTGAATTTTATTGATTGTGTATGGGCTTCAGAATATTTCACTTGGTGCTCTGATCACAGAGGTTTTAATTCTAGAAATAGAAGTTATTGCTGTGTTCTTTTTGTCTTAGAAAACTTATTATAGGTTGCCAGTTGAGGGCCTGTTTAACTCTTACCTTGGAGAGAATTATTAGCGCCCTTTGGGGGTTTTTTGTTCATTAAATAGTTTTATTGACAGTGCCTGTTGTCTGTAGGAAAATCCACTGCTGGAAATTTCCTCGTTAATCCCCTTGAGCCAAAAAATGCAGAAAAACTCAAAGTGAAGATTGCTGATCTTGGAAACGCCTGTTGGGTGGTAAGTTAAACTTGTCTTTGTGCTATGTTTTGAAGTGACAAATGTAGTTTCACTTTTTTTTAAACCTTTTTTTGGAAAGTTCAGATATATCTATGAAAATAGGAAAAATGATAAAATAATGAACAATCCACCCCCAACCTCCACCTGTTCACCCATCACCCAGATTCAATAAGATGAACTCCTGGGCAATCTTGTATTATCACTGTTATTCTCTTTTCATACTTTTAATGGCTGTGTTCATAACCTCCCTCCACCCAACTTCTTTTTTCAAAACTGCAATCTAACTTAAAAATTGTGATCTTTTAATTCACTCAATATACTTTTTATATTAAATCAGATGGTTACATAGTATTCCCTATGTCTTTAAGCATTTTTGATAGCTCTTTGTGATTGATACTCTTTTTGCATGAATCTGTTTATAGTTATCTTTAGGACATGTCCTAAAGGTAGAATTGCTAAGTCAAAAGTTAGGTGATTTTTTTTTTTTTTTTTTTTTTTTTTTTTTTTTTAAGGCTTTTAGATATATAGTGCCATATTACTTACAGAATGGTTTGCATGTAAATGAAGACTACTCAAAAGAAAAAAGAGGAAATGATCCAGAATCCAAGAGGATCCCATTTCCAGTCTTTATTCTAGAATATTGTTAAAACATTTTAGAGTTATTTGGTTCTCTTGTTTCATTTGTTCTGTGTAGGGTGCTTAGTGGGACACGTTCTACCACTGAGTTATATCCCTAGCCATTTTTTATTTGGGGACAGGTTCTTGCTAAGTTGCCCAAACTGGCTTAGAACTTGCAATCCTCCTGCCTTAGCCTCCCCAGTCAATAGGATTGCTGGAATTATAGGTGTGCACCAGCTTAATTTTCTCATTTTTAAAAATAACATCCTGTTCTTATTTTAATATTATTTGAATTTTTTTCCTTTATATAGGTGAAACTAAGCTTCTGTTTTCTTGTTATTCATTTAATTTTTAATTATGAAAATTTTCAAACATAGACAGAAATAAAATAGAATAATGAACACTCAGGCCAATCATTTTTCTTCTGTATCTCAACCTTGACCAGATTATTTTGAAGTATAGTCCTATATATATTTTTTTCGTTCATACATGACTTATTGAAAGGTGGGGTTTTTTAATATGTCAAATAATGTATCAAACCCCGGGCCTTATGCACATGAAGGGATCACTGTACTCTGTACCTGACCCACATTTCCAGCCCTTTTTGGTTTTTGAGACAGGGTCTTAATAAGTTGCTCCGCCTAGCCCTGAACTTGTCTCCTCCTGCCCCAAACTTCCGAGTAGCTAGCATTACAGACATGTGCCATTGTGCCCAGCCATATTTGATGTTATTTTGAGGGATTAAAAGTGTACAGGGGAAGGAAGAATTCTTTATAGGTGGTATAAGTGGTTATAAATGTCTTAAAACCTACAACTTTGAGTTGTTGTTGGTTTTTTTTTTAAATACCTTTTCATTTATTTATTTATATGTGGTGTTGAGGATCAAACCCAGGGCCTCGCACTTGCTAAGCCAGTGCTCTACTGCTGAGCCACAACCCCAGCCCAAATTTTAGTTTTCATAATGAAAACATAGCTAAGACAGTTTGAGTTGAATCTGAGTTTCATTTGTTGAAGTAGTCTGTTAATTCTAGACAAATGAGCAACATAATTTTTATTTGGAATAACAATTTTTCATTTCTTATAAAGCTATTATTATTTCCTAAATCTGTTTATCTATATTAAATTTATTGTCATCTGTTACAAAAATAATTTGGAATAGCATGTGGTAAGGCTAAGGATTGTTTGGGGGTAATAGCTTCAAAGTGATACTGGAAAAGTTAGCTAAATGGAAACTTTGGGGAAAAACTTCTTCATTATTAAGTAATCCTGACTTGTTGCTTTTTAGAATAAATGAATTTTAAAATACTGTTTCCTTTCTATTTGCTCAGCACAAACATTTTACTGAAGACATTCAAACAAGGCAATATCGCTCCCTGGAAGTTCTGATAGGATCTGGCTATAATACTCCTGCTGATATTTGGAGCACAGCATGCATGGTAATGTTTTGTATCCTTTGACCTTGTTTCATACCTTGCCCTGTTTCAGCAGACCAGCAAATTAACAAGCAGAAAAAGAATTTATCATAGGTGACTTGTCATGGGAATTATAAATCCTGTGTCTGGAGGGTCTAAATTAAAAACAACTGCTGTGAGGTTGATTTGGATTAAGTTACAAGTACCCTCACCCTTATAGCATTGATCTGTTTGCAGGTAAGGCACACCTGGAAACTATTTTATTCTGTACAACTCAGCAACTCCTCAGACATTTTTTTCATCTTTGGAACTCAAAATATGAAGAAGCCAAATCAGACATAGATTCATAAGTTGCTTCTTTGTCCCTAACAAGCAACTACTCAAGTAGTCAGATTTAATTGATATTAAAAATTTCCCACAAATAGACTTACATTAAAAGGTATTTTATCATTTCCTGAAATGGAGTATACTCTTTGAGATCTTTTATCACTGTTTGTCCTGTTTATTTATTTACTTCTCTTCCACAAAGTTATAAACCCCATGCTGGAGAGAATAATGTTGGTTATATGTGGCTGGCATGTTTTCTGTGGGTACTTGCAGTGCGGTTCTGATGATAACTACCTGGAGTTCTATCTAGGGGTCTGCCATACCATAAACTTAGGTAAGGTCCAGGAGGCCCATTTGGGAATTCCAAAGCTAAAGGTCCCCTTCCAGGAAACTAGGACAAAGACCAATGTATTTTATATCACAGGGCTTAATATTTGTAAACCATCAAATGAATGAACAGAAACATACTAAACTCACTTCAGGAAGAATAGATTGGAAGCTTCAACTTCTTTCAAGTCAGATTACTTTCATCCATGAAAAACTTGGTTTTCAAAAATAGTAAAAGTTGGGGCTAGGGCTGTAGCTCAATAGCAGCATGCTTGCGGCACTGGGTTCGATCCTCAGCACCACATAAAAATAAACAAATAAAGCCATTCTGTCCTTCTACAACTACAAAAAAATTTAAAAAAAAAAAAAAGTAGTAAAAGTTGCCAGGTGTGATATGTACACTTTTAATTCCAGCAACTCAGGAGGCTAAGGCAGGAGGATTGCAATTTGAGGCCAGCCTCAATAACTTAGGAAGCTCCTATCTAATAGATTTTAAAAGTCTGGGTGTGTAGCTCAGGTAAAGCACCCCTGGGTTCAGTCCCCAATACCCAAAATGGTAGAGTTAAAACCATTAAAATGTTAAAAAGAAGAAGTAATAGTAGTAATAGTAAGGTAAAGGATGCACTTAAATGCTACAATTTTCTTGACCAAGGGATGGAAAGCACTTATGAATCAATATCATGAAAACTTTAGCCCTACTTTTTTTTTTCCTAAATTTCTCTCATTCTGCCAATAAATATAGGAAATGTTGCTTTAAATTTGTCATATACTAAGTAAATATAAATCTCATAATTTCAGAAGTGCTGGAAAGATGGATCATCCTGCATCAAATGCAATTAGTTGATAGAAAGGTTCTGACCCTTTCTGAGAGGCTAAGAAACAAGTCTAGAAGTTGCCTTCCACATTATTGATGGAGATAAAGTTAGAAGGGCAGTTATATAAAGGGTCAGGACAAAATATCTGTGAAAAACATTAAGAATTAACAATCTCTCAGGGCATAGAGGAAGATCACTGGCAGGATGAAATTCTTCCTTGCTGTCTTTTGAACATCCTTTCCCCTTCAGCTATGGGGAAATAAGTTTATAGTTTCCAGTTAGATCTTTTCTTGTAGCTTTTTTTTTTATTGTTGTTATTTTTGTTTTTTATTTTGTCTTGTTTTTCAAATCTTTTTATCTCTGAAATTCGGGACAGAATTGGTGGGAAACTGAATGTGCCTATATATAGTAAGGAAAATTGCGTATTTTTATCTGTCCCTGAAGTGACATCTGACTAACTAGTGGTATGTTTAGGGGGGAAAAAACTAGAGAATATAACTTTATTTCCCCTAGATGTTTTATTAAGCAAGGGAATGGCTCTCGGAAATGGAAAAAGGGTTTCATCCTATTTTATGTTTTGAACTCTAAGGCTGCTAAAAGGCCCTAAGCTATCAGAATCCAAAAGTGATGTATTTGACCCATAAAGTTTTTCCTGTCATCCCCATTCCTAACCTGAGCTGCCTGAATGAAAATGCAAAAAAATGACCACATTGCTCAATAGCTATTTATATTTCACCAATGATGGTCACCTTTATTCAGCAGCAATAAGTCATGGTGGTAGGGATAGAATACCATTTTAATGAGTAATATTTTGAGTTATTTTCATGTAATTTCATATCTTATACAGTGAAGCCATGGGTTTGCTATTTCTGTTGTTACTATTGCTGCCATTGCCAGTTTTCTGATAAACAGATATTATAACATGTTTAAAAAATAGAATACCTTGGGGCTGAGGTTGCATGCAGTTCAGTGGTTGAGCACTTGTCTTGCATGCATGAGGCATTGGGTTGAATCCTCAGCACCACATACATACATACATACATACATACATACATACATACATACATACAGATATTGTGTCCATCTGCAACTAAAATATATATATATTTTTTTTTAAAAAAAAAATAGAATATCTCAACTGGGCGTAGTGGCACACACTTGTAATCCCAGCAGCTCGGGAGGCTGAGACAGGAGAATCACAAGTTCAAAGCCAGCCTAATAATCTAAGATGGTAAACAACTCAGTGAGACCCTGTCTCTAAATAAAATTCAAAATTGGGCTAGGGATGTGGCTTAGTGGTCGAGTGCCCCTGAGTTCAATCCCTAGTGCCAAAAAAAAAAAAAAGAAATCTTGTTCTTGCTTCTCTCACAGGTAGAGAGAAGATCTTTGTAGCTAATGTAAGCAGGGATATTTGGATTCCCAGACATTGCTATCAGTGAAGGGGAAGAACATGGCATTTTTTAATAGGGAAGAAAGCCAGGGGAATTGAGAGAAGCAAACATTTGCTCTCCAAGGATGATAGAGTCGTAGTTGGTTGATTATAGGTCCTGCATTTTCATTGTAGATCCTGTAAATAGCACACAAGTAAGAAGGAGGGCCCTAGATCCCTGGGGCAAGGGAGTCTTCTGTTTTGATCATGCATAGCTTCAACAAGTCAGTTCAGATAGTTGTATGTTAGAATATTTATTTTAGGAATACTTTGATTACCAAAGTTATCAAAAGTTTAATTCCAAATCTATAGCAGTATCTTATCCTTACTGTTAAGTCTGACATTAATTGGTACAAAGTCTGACATTAATTGGTACAAACAAAAACTAAAGTCTATTGACTTTCCCTACTAAGGGGAGAAAAAAAAAAAAGACTTGGTTCTTGGCCTTTTTCTTTTTTCCTGGGAGATCCCATGGCATCTCCAGTCTCACTTACCTCTACATTTCATCTGGCTTTTTCTGTCTCTAACTATATCTTGGGCAACTCCATTTGAATATCTAATAAACAGCTCAAATTTAAATTTTTAGATCAAAAGGTTTGATCAAACCTCAAAAGGTTTGATCCACATATTCAGTTTTTGTAAATGACCCTTTGTTCACCCACTTAAAAAGCTCAAATCCAAAACTTTTAGGTTAATTCTTAATTCTTTTCTCCTTTTGCTCTGTATACCTAGTTCATCTGCAAGTTCTACCTCTAATACATATCCAGTACCAGTCACTTCTTACCTTTTCCATTAACCCATTATATCCCAAGTCATCATTGTTAAATACATAGACCACTACAGTGGCCTCTTCTTTATTAGCTTCTGTTTTTCTCTCTTTGAGGTACATTCTCTCATAATAGCCTGAGTGATCTTTTGGGGGGAGGCGGTACTGGGGATTGAACTCAGGGACCTTCAACCACTGAGCCACATCCCCAGCCCTATTTTGTATTTTATTTAGAGACAGCATCTCTAAATAAAACAGTGCCACACTGTTGCTGGGGCTGGCTTTGAACTCATGATTCTCCCATCTCAGCCTCCCATGGGATTACAGGTAATGTGCCACTGTGCCCAGTCTGAGTGATCTTCAGTATTAATCAAATCATGTTATTTTCCTGTTTTCAATTCTTGAATTGCATCTATTTTAGTCAATTTTTTTTTTTTCTTTAGTCACATTAAGCTCCCTCTTACCTCACTCTTTCTGCTTCTACCTATATAGGTCTTGGCTCAACATAACCTCCTGACCATTATGATCCAGTGGTCTGTGTTGTTTTAATTACTGTAACTATCAATATTTTTAAAGTTTTTAGTGTACAGTGTTTCTTTTTTAAGTGGAATTGTTCTCATGATTTATTTATCTGTCTATTTATTTGTTGGTAGTTGTAGATGAACAGCATGCCTTTATTTTATTTGTTTATTTTTATGTGGTGCTGAGGATCAAACCCAGTGCCTCACACATGCTAGGCAAGCACTCTGCCACTCGACTACAGCCCCAGCCCCTCTCATGGATTTCCTTCTCAGATAGTTCACTGTTGTTGTTGTATAGAAATGCTACTGATTTTTGTGTATTGATTTTATATCCTGTAATTTTACTGAATTTGAAGTCTTTAGGGATGGAGATACACACACACACACACACACACAATGTTAACTGTGGTTTCTCATATGTGGCCTTTATTCTCTTGAGTTACATTCCTCTTGTACCTAATTTGATGATACTTTTTTATCATGAATGGATGTCACATTTTTTTTCTTCATCTAATTGGTTTTTGTCCTTTGTTCTATTAATGTGTTGATTCACATTTATTTGTCTTTGTTGAACCATCCATGCATCCCAGGGATATGGTGATGATCTTTGTTTGGTTTTTTTTTTAGGTGTAGATGGACACATCACAATTTCTTTATTTTTATGTTGTGCTGAGGATCGAACCTGTTGAAGAATTTTGCATATACCAATTTTGCATATACCTATATGTTCCCCAAGGATATTGGTCTATAATTTTCTTTCTTGTAATGTCCCTGTTCTGGGTTTGGTATCAGGACAATGCTGGCCTCATAAAAGAAGTTTGAATATATTCCCTCTGCTTCAGTCTTTTTAGAAGAGTTTAAGGAAGACTAGTATTGTTTCTTTTAATGTTTTCTAGACTTCAGCAATAAAGCCATCAGGTTTTGGGCTTTTCTTTGATGGGAAAAACTCTTTTGTTACTGATTCATTGTCCTTACTTGTTACTGGTCTGTTTCAGGTTTTGTATTTCTTGATGATTCAGTCTTTGTAGGTTTTATGTATCTAAGGATTCACCTACTTCTGAGTTATCCAGTTTATTGGTATATAAATTATTCATAGTAGTCACTTATGACCCTTTGTATTTCTGTGGTATCAGTTGTTAAATGTTTCTTCTTTCCCTTATTTTGAGCCTTCTCATTTGGGGGGGGGGGGGGCATTGAACCCAGGGCCTTGTGCATGCAAGGCAAGCACTCTACTAACTGAGTCCCCAGCCCAAGAGCCTTCTCTTTTTTCCCCTTAGTCTAGCTAAAGATTTGTCAATTTTATAATCTATTTTTTTAAAGCCAGCTTTTAGTTTTGTTCATTTTTTATATTATTTTTTATAGTCTTTTTCATATATTTCTGCTTTAGTGTTTATTATTTCCTTACCTCTGCTAACTTTGAGCATAATTTTTTGTTCTTTTTCTAGCTTTCTGAGTAAATATATTATTATTTGAGATCTTATTTAATGTAGGCATTTATTGCTATAAACTTTTTCTTAGGACTGCTTTTGCTGTATGCCATAAGTTTTAGTATATATCATTTTTTATTTTTAAATTTTATTTCTGTTTATTTTATCCTGGGCATTGAACTTAGGGCCTTTCAGCTGCTAAGTATATAGTCAACCACTGAGCTATACCCCCAGACCTCTTTAAGCACTCTAAATAACATCATATCTATTTTTTTTAACTTTAATTCCACTATATTTACTGTATGAGACTTGAGATTTTACAAAAGTACTGGTTTCAAAAATTTTTGTTTCTGTGCCAATTTTAGACTGTAACCCTTAGGTTATACAAGGTAGAACAGGTATCTGTTCTGTTGGTGTGACTTTGTTTTAGAGCCTAACAAGACACCATTGCATTCCTGACATTATGGAGACAAGTAGTTGATTCCTAGAACTGTCTTGAAACTTGTAGTTAACCTCACTCAAATAATTTTGAGAAAGTCTGTCTTGAAATTGATACTGTCATGAAACTGATACTGGTGAACCATCAAGACCTAAATTGGGTCTAATTTGAGAATGTGAATAAATCCACCCCTCAGTCCTTTTTCTGGGGATTGAACCCATGGTTGCTCTAACACTACATCACCAGCCCCTTTTATTTTTTATTTTGAAATAGGGTCTCTGAGTTGCCCATGCTGACCTCAAACTTATGATCCTTCTGCCTCAGCTTCCCAAGTTGCTGGGATTACAGTACCCACCATATGTGCACCACCATACACCTGGCTTGCCCCTCAGTTGGGATTATCTTAGTACCATTGACTCAATCAAAATTGACCTATGTCTGCTGTTAGTTTATAACTGTACTTTTTAAGAAACTGCTATTGTGTTAGTTATTTTTTGAAAAATCCATTTGTAATCAGTGAAAAGTTCACGTAACCTCATTATTCAATGTTTTCCAAAAGGTTTTCAGTTCACAGGAGATATGTGCCTTTCTTTTCCTACTTGTGAATGCTGACCTCTACTGGTTACATAAAACAGAGTGACTCCCTATACCCTTGACATTTTAATTTTTTTGAGTTTCCGTAGACCTAGAAATTGGAAACTCCATCTGAGACTATTTAGGGAGTATTTTCCACACAAAAGTTAAGAATAAACTTCTTATCAGTGACTAAAGAGTCATTGGTAGAAATATGTGAGTACTTGATTTCGATTTAGGGTACAGAATTCAGTTTCTAGCTATGTGAAATTATAATGTAAAAAACACCTGCTCTTATGAACAATTTAGTAACTTAGAATTACCTTAATATTCAGTTATGCCCTTTCCTAACCAAAAGTGAAACTCAGGAGGACTGAATTGCTTTTTTTTTTTTGTCCCTGACACATAATAATTGAAGCAACAAATATGTATGTGTGTGTGTATATATAGAAACACACACTGTACCCCATAAAATGCACAATTATTAGGTGTCAATCGTGCATTTTTATGGGGTACAGTGTGTTGTTTCTATATACAGTGTATAATAATCAAATTTGAGTTACTGGCATATCCCTCACTTCATTTATAATTTCTTTGTGTTAAGAATATTCAGAGTGGTCTGGGGCTCAGTTGGTAGAGTGCTTGCCTTGCATGTACGAGGCCTTGGGTTCAATCTTCAGCACTACAAAAGAATATTTAGACTCATCTCCGATAGCTGTTTTGAAATGTACTATGTAACAATGTGTTATTGTTAGTTATAGTTACCCTACTGGGCAGTAGAATAGTAGAATTTGTCTTATATGTGACTTTGTACCTGAGACCTTCAAGATTCCCAACCTCCCTCATTCCCTGCTTGATTATTTTTTGTTTTTTCTTGTTTGTTTTTTTTGTTGTTGTTGCTTATTTTTTCCTGTGGAACATCAGTCCAAATAATTTTCTCCTTTTTTTTCCATTTTATTAAGATACAGGTGTGGACGAAAAGTTCTTTAGGAGTAATTTTAAGACATTTTTTTAAAAATGGTCATCTATAGATTTTTTCCAAGAATAAAATTTCTTGAGTCAAATAGCAATAAGCATTTACCAAAAGCCCTCTTTGATGCTTTGTATGCTATCCTCTTTTTCTTAGGCCTTTGAACTGGCCACAGGTGACTATTTGTTTGAACCTCATTCAGGGGAAGAGTACACTCGAGATGAAGGTGAGTCCCCTAAGCCAAATTTGTCTGTGCATGGCAGTTTACTTTCCACATGTGGCTAATATCATTTGTTCACTCCAAAGAGCCCTAGTAATCTTGTTAGTGTGCCAAGTATGTATAAGTACCACAAAAGATAGAAATTTAAGAAATATTTCATAGTAGATACCAGATATACTAGGTATTTTATAAAAGATACTAAAAAGCTGTAACAGATGGTTGGCATAAGGCCACAACTGGTAAAATGAAAACTTTATTTGACAAGTAGTTTTTTATTCAACATCCAATTACCTTTCTTTGTAGGTCTGTGACTTGTTCTTTACCCAGTTTAAATATACCTGTTCATAAACCTGTTCTCAGCTGTGCCTTCAACTTTATTTGGAAGTCAATGATCTTCATCTAGAAACACTACTTGACTACAGATACCATCCTATTTACACAAATTCTATGATACTTTTCACTTTTCTGAAATCTAAAGCTTTAATTTTTCTTTTTAAATGATATTCATGTTTAGAATGCCACTTAAAAACAAAACAAAATGATTGTAAATTTTTCAGTACCCTGTAAGGAAAGCCCCCACTTATTTGCTTCATCCATGAGGCTATGGAAGCAGACATTGTACGAGTCTGATTTTTTTCCATTGTGGTGACATCCAAATAACTAGATGAGTTAATAAGCTGAGTGAAAAAATGGTTAGAAGTTGGGCACAGTGGCACACACCTATAATCCCAGTGGCTCAGGAAGCTAAGACAGGAGGATTGTGAGTTCAAAGCCAGCCCCAGCAGTTTAGTGAGGCCCCCATACAACTTAGCAAGACCCTGTCTCTAAGTAAAATATAATAAAAAGAGCTGGATATGTGACCTAGTGGCTAGTGCCCCTGGGTTCAATCTCTGGTACCAAAAAAAAAGGTGGTAGGGGTGGAGGGACTAGGGATATGGCTCAGTGGTGGAGCACTTACTAGCATGCCCTATACTCTGAGTTCAGTTCCCAGCACTAAAGAGAAAAAAATGATTAATGTTTTGCTTTGTTTTTATACTATTCAATTAATGTTTGTTTTGTTTGCAGGTTTAATGAGGGTTAGTTTAAGGGAGTACTTACTTAGCACAGCCCAGTGGGAAGAACATGTGCTTCACTGGCTATGCTTTCCTCCAGGTTTTGGGAAATCACATTTTATGTTCTATGAAACCAAGAATGTTCTCTGTTCCTCAGTATGGTCCCCTCAGGTTTTAATAAGTAGTGTTAGTACAGCTTGCTGATATTCCTAACAAAGCCCAATTAGGAAAAGATGTGTTAATTCCCATAGCCAGCTATCTGTTTTGATTGGTGTAGTTTGGATACTTTCTTAAAATGTGTGTCCTTTGTAAGAAAATACTACAGCAATTGCCCATGTACCCACTTGATTTTCTCCCCTGTTCTTTCTTTGTCTTTTTTTTTTCTTTCCTTCTCTGAGTTGTAAGTTTAGAGTTATACGTTAACAAAGTGTTTTTAAAAAGCCTTATTATCTATTTCTAGGGGAGTAATTTTTTTTTCTCTTTACTTTCCTAGAGTCTTTATTAATACTAGTGTTTAGTACAGAGCACACATACTGGCTAACATCATATTGAGTAGTACCTTAAGTTATTAACCTGAAAAATTGAAATATGTATGTGAGAAAAATATGATGAGAGAGAACCATCTTGCCTAAATATTTAGATTGTAACTTATTTCCTCTACAAGTCAATACTGATAAATGCTAGGTCAAAGCCTTGCCTTTCTGTTCTATTCTACTGCAGTTTGCCCCATAAAAGCAGGAAAAAAAAAAAAAACTTAATCCCGACTATGTATGTATAGTTTGTTAATAGTCATGCTATACTGGGGCCTAAAATAGAATATCCTATTATTATTACATTCCACAGACCTAACTCCTGGGATAATACTTGATATCAGTCAAAACTGCTCAAACGTTGTAGTGAATTGATCAATGTAAAGTCCTTTTTAAATGACACCAGTAGATCTTTTGTAGGAGAAAGAGATAAAAGTGTTTTTCTAGTTATGAGCCATTGGTCTATTAAATCTCTTCATATTCTTAGTTTCTGTCACTTGAAGAATGAGAACAGTAGGATAGCTGATTTTTTTTTTCCATTATGGTGACATCCAAATAACTAGATGAGTTAATTACTGGCTAGTACCAGCTTACCTCCCTGCTAGCAATCTGCCCACCTCCTGGCAGTGCTCACTCTAGGACATTAGTAGACTGCAGTCAAGTAGCTGTATTCTTTAAACTTTTGTGCTAATTGAAAAGTGATTTTGGGTGGGAGTGGGGGGAGAAAAGCTCTGGGTTAGATAAGACAAGATATGAGTTGTCATTGTAGTTTTAGCTCTTTTAGCTCTCAAACTTTAAGTAGGCCATTTAGTCTCTCTGAAGTTCCACCTTTAAAATGTGGCATTAACTTAGCCTGTTTTTTCAGGGTGACTATAAATACTCGAGTCATGTGAGGGCTTTGTCGTGAACATTCTTAGATAAGGTGATGTTTTAGTCCTTAAAGCCCAGAATAGTGTTACAAATAAATAACAGTTCTAAATACCTAAAGCAAATTGGCATTTTGTTTTAACCTTACCTGAAGAACCTACCTAAACCTAGATAGAGACAAACTAAAAAGTATAAAGTTATAGATAGTCTGTGAGATCCAGAATGAGACTTGCCAGCTATGATTAGGTAACCAGCCACCTGAAAAAATGCCTGGCCTTCCCAGTCTTGCCTTGAATATCATTGGTTTTACTTGTAGTTACTTTTAAACACGTAGTCCTTAAAAAAGCTATTCATAGAAAAAAATCTCTTTAACAACTTGTCCTTCATCCTGTTCTTCTTACCCTTCTATTTTAGACCACATTGCGCACATTATAGAGCTGATAGGCAGAATTCCAAGACGCTTTGCCCTCAGTGGGAAATATTCACAGGACTTCTTCAATCGCAGAGGTAGTATTGCTAAAATGAGTTTCCATCTAGGCCCCAGGGATACAACTTCAGGAAACAGAGCATTCACACCAAGACTGTTTTTAGTTACCACTCAGGTCCCACTGGAGTGGGTACCCAATGTTTTTATGATATTCTGGATTCTCCATTAGATGGATAGAGTCCACCTCTTCCCATTTAGGACAGAAAGCAAGCTGAAATGCTTTACAAAGAGGTGTGCATGCTACTCTTTCTGCCAGTGTATAGAGCTGCATTTGTTACTCCTGTTATGTATGTCTTTTTTTCCCCCCTCTTGAAATGTTTGAAACATACAGATCACATTGCATTGATCATAGAACTCCTGGGGAAGGTGCCTCGCAAGCTCATTGTGGCAGGAAAATATTCCAAGGAATTTTTCACCAAAAAAGGTAAAACAAATGTGTTTGTTCCCAGACATTAAGGGGGCAAAAGTACTTAAAAACGAAAAGGTAAGTACAGCTGGTTACATATTTCCACTATCCTACAAAATGGTTAGCCTACCTTGAATGCTAATCTGTGATTTAGCAGAGGGGTGAAATAGTCAAAAGGAGAGATAAAGCTGAGTATCCAATCCCAGCTTTTCCACTAGCTGATTTCTACTTAGGGAAGATAATAATTTATTCTTTCTGTTAAATTAGTTAATATATGATTACTTCTACTGCAGCACTACTGGGAAATGGACAAATTTTTGCTGGTGTTCTGTTTACAAACTGCCTCTACCAAAGGCCAAGTGGTTTGGTTTAAGCTTCTTAGGAGTCGGAACTACATCTCAGTCATCTTTGTATCCCAGTGATGCCTAACACAATCACCCAGACACCTTGTGGGTTAGCCGTACAAACTGATTTAGTACTTTAGTTTCATAATTTGTTATTACATATTAATGAAAGAAACAGATAAGACTCTCACTTTAAACTTTTGACTTGATCATGTATCTCTTATGCATTCCTAATAAAACTGAAATATGAAAAGCTAATCTAGAAGGATCTAGAAAACTGTCTGGCCTGTTTTTCTACATCGTGTCGTGGTTCTCCTTTTCATCACAACTGCTACTCAAATGCTGAGAAAAATTATTTTTCTCAACCCTTGACAGGAAGCATTCTCAAAATCATCATTCTTTCTTACACAACTTTTTGGGCATGAAAATGGGGAAATGCTTGTAAGGGTTCTTCCTTGTATGCAAAGTAAGATTAAGGTATGCAAATGTAATTGAACAGGCAACTCTCTGCCCACAGAAAAGACTCCAAGTAAGTGTCATATATGAAAAAGTGTTTAGTAGCACTTACTTTAATAAGTCATTAATAATTGACTATACTTTCTAAATTGTCAATTCAGCTGGGTGCATTGGTACATGCCTATAATCCCAGCTTCACAGGAGGCTAAAGTAGGAGGATCACTTGAACCCAGGATTTTGAGGCCAGCTTGGGTACCACATAGTAAGGCCTCCATCTCCCAAATAGAAAAATATCTTTTAAAAAATTGCCACTTCAAGGATGCATGTGTAGCTCATTGGTGAATGCTTGCCTATCACACACGAGGCCCAGGGTTTGATCTCCAGCATTGCAAAGAAAGTGTCACTTCAAAGAAGCAATTAATTAGATTGAAGTTTTAGTATGGTGCTGCTATATGTGAAATCTATGTCAGGTATGTTCTTTTAGTTTTGCTGCTTTTTATACATGTTGCCATGGTATTAGCTCCTTATTTTAAAATCACATTTGTTTTACAGCAATATTTTCTAGACTTGTTTGTACTTTTTCTTAGCTCAAATTGGGTATAGTGGCACACATCCATCATGCCAGCTACTGAGGAGGCTGAGGCAGGAGGATCATGAGTTCAAGGCCAGCCTGGGTGACTTAGGGAGACCCTATCTCAAAATAAGAAAAATTGAAAAGAAGTAGGGGCGTGGCTTAGCGGTAGAGTACTTGCCTTAGCATGTTTGAGGCCCTCAGTCTGATTCCCAGTACTGCCAAAAGAAAGAGTATAAGCAAGTTGTTCTTAATGTGTAGACCTGGATATATGAGTATACAGACATTTAGTGAATCACTAGTTTCTGTTGAGATGTATGCAGTTTGGGACCAAAACAAACTTGAGGGAGAAAGCAAATCGTCTTAAATTTTTAGTACCTTATGAAAAATAGAAGCACTTCATTTCAAGATTAGAGAAGTGCTTTTTGAATGGAACATTAGATTCTGATTGCAAAATTTGATTCTTTGTAGACTACTTGGATTGGTTCCTGGATTGTCACATTGTCACTTGTCAATGTTGGTCAGTTTCTTTTGTACTGTCTTCACCACAGGTGACCTGAAACACATCACGAAGCTGAAACCCTGGGGCCTTTTTGAAGTTCTAGTGGAGAAGTATGAGTGGTCTCAGGAAGAGGCAGCTGGCTTCACAGATTTCTTACTGCCCATGTTGGAGCTCATCCCTGAGAAGAGAGCCACTGCTGCCGAGTGTCTCCGGCATCCTTGGCTCAACTCCTAAGTCCCTGCCCAGCACTGCAGCAGAGATCACCACACTGACCACCCCCCACCCACTCCCTTCCAAGCATTTCCCTCTTCTCTTTTCAGGGCAAAGCTCTTTCTTCAAGGGTTTCTAGATTTTTCTTCGTCTTTTTTTATTCTTTAATCCAACATGTTCATTTGGGTTTGCTCACTTGAACCTGTGGAGGTCCCCACAGCCATTCCGCATCCTAGGTGAATTTGGCCTTGGTAGGGCTCTGCCAAAGACTAATGGACTAAAAATGTGAAACAGCCTCTTGGCCTATACCTTTGCCTTTCCATTAGAGCATCCTTCAAATTATAATAACCCTTTTTAAAAAGAGCCTTTAAGATATATGAGCCCATCTCTTTATTCATGGACTCTACGAGTCAAATTTTCTAGTGAATATCCTATTGTCAGCATAAGGATGAGGAGGGAAAGGGTGTTCATTCTGTGTACAGCAGAGACATTAAACTTGCTGTATCCAGGCTGCATCATCTACCTGGATTGTTTCTGTTGTTTTCCATGTTATTTTTCCTGCGACTTTTAATCTACTACCTTTTTAAATGAGCTGTATAAACACCAAATTTGGGTACCATATTATCACGATTCAAAGCACTGTCATATTCCTTTCATCCTTTAATAACTCCAAGATCCTCAAATCTTCTGATTTTTAAATGTAAACAGAAATGGAACCATTGTGTTAACAATTTCTTGAAAACCTCAGATGTTCTGCAAGTAGCCCTTTCCTATGTGTCTTCTGTTACCCTAAGAGCAGAATTTACTTTGATTGGCAGTTAACATTTTTGGGTTTGGTTGGTGTGTTTGGTTTTTTTTTTTTTTTTTTTTTTTAATTCCTATCTGGCACCTGACTCATTGTACTTGAGTTTATTGTTTCTAGAGTCAGGGTGACTCTAGAAACAAGATCTGAGTTTCAGAGCTTTCCCATTTAAAGAGAAAATGCCTTAGAGTTCTGATTCTTTACCAAATAGTTCTCTGCTTTTATTTATAGCTTTTTCTTTACCTTGCCCAAAGTTCTGGCTTTGAGCAGTTTCCCTGTGTCTTTGCTGTTCTCGTTTCTCAGATGCTTGGGGTCTCTAATGAAACCCTGGAGGAAGGAACCAAGGGGAAGGGTGGGATGACACTTTTTCAATGGCTTTTTTTTTCCCCCTGTTGGTTTTTTAAGATTAACCATTCTCTGCTGCTATTTCCTTGCATAATGTAAGTTTTTAACTGCGATTTTGAGATGATTGAAATGTACTTGAGGCTTTTTTTTTCCTCCCCTCAATTTGAAAAGGCTTTGTGAATTTTATTTTAGGATTGACCTCTCCTAGACATGCCCTAAACATCACATATTCCTTGGGTAATATGAGCAGCAAAAGAGGGAGGATTGGGGTCAAGCCACTTACTCAGCATGGACCAAGTAGGCCTTGGGGATTACAGCATTCTCCAGAAGTGGCTTTAGAACTCTAATTTGCAGAAAGTCAAGGAGGTGCAACTCAAGGCTCTACTAGCAAGCAACCTATGAAAATGTCGGACATCCACCTTTTTATATGGAAGATTGTTTCAGTCATTTACTCACCAACAATGACAAAGGAAAAAATGTCATTATGCAATCCATTTAACCCATAACCATATTACTCTGAGGAACTATCCAGCTACTCATCGGATCCTTGATTGGTTACTCCTGAAATCAGACATGTTCCTGTAGAAAGAATTTAAGTCATGTCTATGCACATATCAAGAATAAAGAACTTGTATCAAACAACGGCAGGGAAATCCTTCAGCAGTTCTAATCCACTTTCGGTTTTCAGCTATATTTACATCTAAAGCAATAGCAGACTTACCTGAAATCTCTTCTACGTTGTAAAATCAATTGTGGAATTCAGGTGAAATAACCAAAAAACACGTAAGCGAAACAGAAGGCCCCTTTTTAACAATTGATGGGAAATTTTAATAGGAGAAAGAACATGTAACTTTGTAAATGTTTCCCAGCAAATAAGGGCTTTTCCCCCCCCCTACTATTTAAAGAGCCAGATAAATTAGAAGATCTGGAAAGTGGCAGCTGCAGAACTTGATCTTCTAAGTACTTCACGAACTTTTATTGAGCTTAATCATAATACTGTCAAATTACTATGATCCCAGGAAAGGATTTCTATTTGCTGTTAAAAATAAAGCCCTGATACATTTTTATTCTTTCTACTGAGTGCATTGTCTGTTTTCTTAATAAATGCAGTACAATAAACAAATTATTTAATAACCTACATGTTTCCAGAAATTTCTGTTTGTTTCCCAAGTTAGTCTGACCAAACAGTTGGAGGAAAAGATTGCTTAAATGTGCTTATTGAGTTTAAATTTGCACTGAAACTCCAACTTGAAGACTTGCCATTTGTGGGGTTTGTAGTTTTGCTTCTAGCTTTTAGTTGTGGAATTAAAGCATATTTAGGAGGATTTTGTTTTTTTAATATTTATTTTTCAGTTTTCGGTGGACACAACATCTTTGTTTGTATGTGGTGCTGAGGATCGAACCTGGGCTGCACGCATGCCAGGCGAGCGCACTACCGCTTGAGCCACATCCCCAGCCCTAGGAGGATTTTTAAGAAAATTAGTTCCTTCATCCAGTAGTGTTTTCCCATAACATTTGCAGGGTTTTCCCTCAAATTAAAAATTCAGTATGTGCAAAATTTGGTAAACTCTAGTCATTGTCATGATGTACATTATTGTTATGCATAGGTTTTAATACATTTGTCTGATTCACTCTTTAGGATTAAAATTCTTAGAAATGGAATGTCTGGGCCAGAGAATGAACACATTGCATCCCCAGCCCCCACTGGGGGATCAAACCAAAGGTGCTCTACCTCTGAGTTATATGCCCACTGCTTATTTTAAGACAAGATCTTCCTAAATTGCCCCGGCTAGCCTCAAACTTGAACTCCTTGCCTCAGCCTACTGAGTCAGTGGAATTACAGGCATATGCCACTTCACTTAGCTGAGTAGGCACATTTTTAAAAGTCTAATAAAAAGTCTTATCACGAAAATTCTTAAGACTTTTTCTGTGTACTAACAGTTTTTTGAATGGGCCTGTTATAGTCTCACTTATTCCTAATAGATAGTTTGCCCCCAAAGAAGGAATATGTTGTTTTATGCACACTTGATTATTGATGAGGTGAAACACTTGTTTCATGGTTTTACTGGCCCTTTTACATTTTTTGTGTATCTGCATATATTTTCTAGCTTTACTTTGGAGTGCTTCCCAATTTGATGACTTGGTAGGGATTTATTGTATGCTAAAGCTAATGGATTTTTGTCATTTTTTCCCTTACATATTTACTGAGGTTTTAATTTGCCTTATGTTTTTATTTGTAGCCTTACTATTGTTGGTACTGGGGATTGAACCCCGAGGTGGTTTGTTTTTTTTTTGTTTTTTTTTTTTTTGAGTCCATGCCTTACTAAGTTGCTTAGAGCCTCAGCCTCCCAAGTCACTGAGATTAGAGGTGTACACCATTTTTTATGGCCTTTTTTAAGTGTTATTGTAGAAAGCCCTTTCCCACCTACCCCTGAACTGCATAAACTGTTCTGGTTAATTTGTTTTAATTATGCAATACTTAAGACATAGTGTGTTTGTAATGTTGACCAGAAAATAACCTATTTGAGGTTAATCGTACCAAGATGTTTACCAGACTGACATACCAAGGCAGTGACTCTAATCCTGGGTTAAATGTATGAACCTCTAGATTTAGGGAAACCCTTTGTGCTGTTTTACAGGAACCTATAGCTGTCCAAAAAAAAAAAAAAAAAAACAGCAAACCAAGGGTTCACAGGAAGTCGTGTAGTTCTCCAGAGCTGGCTTCATTATTGTCCTTTTTTCCCCTCTACTAGGGATTGAACCCAAGGGGAATTAACCACTGAGCCACATCCCCAGCCCTTTTTTGTATTTTCAGACAAAGGGTCTTGCTAAATTGCTGAAGCTGGCTTTGAACTTGCAATCCTCCTGCCTCAGCCTCACAAGCCTTTGGAATTACAGGCATATGGGATTTTTTTGTTTGTTTTTTAAACTTATGAACCATGTAGAATCTTCAAGGCCAGCCTTATGAAGAAAGTGCTAAAGTGGTGATTTACTGAAAATGCATCTATATTTCTATTCACTTTAAAATAAAGCCTTAGACATGAGAGCTCGAATAATCAATGTCTTGGGAGTTGGCAAAGCATTGGTAACAATCTAGAATGTTGATATAGGAAGGTAACTAAATCTCAGTAGGAGGCTGGGGATATAGTTCAGTTGGTATAGTGCACAAGGCCCTGGTTTCAATCCTCAGCACCACAGGCAAAAGAAAAAGATAGGAATCAAGTTTGATTTTTGTGTCACTGAAGATGTTGAAAGTTGATATGATATGCATTTATTTCTAAATTCTTGGAGCAATATTAATTCAGACATTCCAGTTTAAAAGCAGAAAGTTTGAGATCATGTTGTATTTAGAAATGTTAGCCAAGGAATTAAGTAAGTTTAATATCTGGTGCTGTCTATAAACTGCACCATTCCTTGTAAATGTCCAGTTTATCTTCCCAAATTCAGTCTTCATCATTATCTCCCTTTTGTCTTTAATTCAAATCTGGTCTTTGCTCATTTTAATATAGTGAAAAGTTTTGCCCTCCAAATGGCAGAATTGGACATTTATAGAGGTGAGTGCATTAACAGCCAGCAATTTGACTTGTGTTCATAATTGTGTCACAAAGATGACATTACATAAGTTGCTTTGGATTTACTAGGTATTGAGGAGAGTAGTGAATGTTGGAAATCTAGTAGATCCTACTGAAGGTGAATAATAGTAAATTTTCAGAATTTGAGCTCTTATGCTTTTCATCTTTATCAGCTTATTACCAAACAAATACATAAAGGCATGTCAAACATTACCATGTAAGGCTACCAGAAGGTAACCTTTGTTCCAGTAAAGCATTCTGATAAATGCCTATGTAGGCAGAAATTATTGAAAAACAACTTTTCAAAGAGCTCCAGTGAATCCTACCTTCTGGTTCACATACCCTGTTTCAGTGGGCTTTCCTGGAGTGTGGGCTTGGCTTTTTGACTGTTAGAGCTACTCACTGTGAAACAGGCACCACAACCATCTATACACCCGCCTCAAACAGGCAAACCATAAGTGAGAAAGGAACAAGATAATTTGGAAAGAAGTACAGATTTCACTGATTTTTATTCTAATATAGATAAATAAGGTTTGAATTACCTTTAAGAATTTATTTAAAGATAAACCCACTTAGAGAACTGAAAATCATTAATGTTATTAGTAAAATAGAATTTTTAGTTCCCTTGGAAGATAAAAGGTGGTACATGTGTTGTATGATCATAAACAGATTTGCAGGTCCTTTCCCAACATTGGCCATAAGCCAAACATGATTCCTGTTTTGGTGAAATTCAGTGTTGGCAAGAGCAGAGGATGGCCTGTAGGCAGCTGCATTGTAAGCCTCCCAGGAGCTTCTGTGGACCACCACATGAGAAGAAAAATAACTTGACAGTGGAGAACTTTTAGAAACTTCTCTTGTACCTCTTTTATGAGAAAAAGTCCCTAAGCTACAGGATTTGTTAAATGGTTTTTAATCAAAAAGGGAGTGCCTGTGAATTAAATAATTTTATCAGCAAAAAATATGAATGTGATTATTATAAAAAGACCAAGTGATGAGGTAAACTCTGTTATAGTAGTTTTTATCACCAGCTGTTTAACTGGATTCACACTAGGATATTCATTCTCAGCCTAGCTGAACCAGTGCAGACAGCAGAGTGAGCAAGTAGTACTGTACAAGAAACAACTGATGGCCCAGAATAACAAAATTTCCATATCATTTGATCAAGCAACAAGATTCTTAGTTTTATTCAGCATTTATCCCCTCTCCCCCTGTGAGAATAGCATACCCAGGTAGTTTCTTTACTGAGTCACTCAAAATGGACAAAGACCAGATCCTATTTCAGTATCGCTCAAAAGTTTTTGACAAGAAGTGCCTTCTATTCCTGTAACAAATGACTTGGATACAGGTAACAAATTTCTGAAGCTGGTATCTGGTTCTGGTTGGGTCAGTGAGGAAATGTTGAGGAGATAAGTCTCAAAGGGTTTTTGGTTCACTGTACCAGGGATGAACCTGAGGTCTTGTGCATGCTAGATAAGCTTTGTACCACTGAACTATACCTCCACCACCTCAGGAGTTTTTAGGTCCTACGTATATTTACCCAATTAGACTAACTGATGGATGTTAAAGGATTCAGATTCTGGTGGTTCCACCGTTCCTTGCCTCTCTGAACATCAGTAAGTAAGCAAAAAGCGGGGAGAAGCAAGAGACCCCCCTTCCCCCACAATCAGCTTGAATTAATCCAACATACTTTCAGCCACCTCTTCTTCAGTGACCTTTTTAGAGCTGTTAGCATTTGTTTCTGTGTGTGCCTTGAAATGATTGTACCCTGCGTGAAGTAGTTGCCAGAGACTGAGGAGAGACCCCTAGAGAGGACTTGCCAGGCCTCTCATTTTACAGAAAAGCTGGTGTTAAAAGATAGGAATGAAATTCGGACTCCTCCATGGCTGAGCAACTCCCATGCCACTCTGCCTCTGAACAGCTTTGATAAGGGTCACTGCAGTTCTGCTTCACCTGGAAGAGGTCTCTGTGCTGCAGGAGTCTTGTCTTAAGAGATGGTCAGCTTCCAACCACGATGCACAACTTGGGCCAGGGACAAGGAAGCTGGAGGAAAGAGTTATATCTGAAGAATTAGATGCCCTAATTTTCCATTGTCTGGGAAATAAATGACCTGTAATGTAAGAAAAACAAGACAACAAATGATTTCAGTATTATAAGATTTGACATTTTTTTAATTTTTTTTTAGTTAGTTGGACACACACAATACCTTTATTTTATTTATTTATTTATTTATTTATTTATTTTATTTAGTGCTGAGAGGATCGAGCCCAGTGCCTTGCACATGCTAGGTGAGCGCTCTACCACTGAGCCATAACCCCAGCCCCTAGATTTGACATTTTTTAAGTAAAAAAAAATAATAATATCATTTATTCTTGCATTACAACTTCAGTTCTACCCAGATGTAGGAATTTCCTCATTCATGTGTAAGATAGTATTCATGGCCCCTTGTGTGGTCTTTGAAAATATAGTGGGGGAAAGGGAGGCAAAGCGATATAGTTGCCCTTTGATTTAGTGATTTCATTTGGAAATTTATCAACAAAAGCAAAAAGTTATTAGCTATGATAGCAACCCTAAATATCTAATAACCAAGGTGTGGTTTAGAAAGTAATGGTACATCAATGCTATGGAACTCATGGCTTTAAAAAATTTTAATAATGAACATTTCAAAAACATGGGAAAAAGTGTTTGATTCTCTAATACTTTGCTACTCAAAGTATGATCCCAATTCACGATTCTGGTTAGAAATGCAGTGTCTGCAGCCCCTCTACTAACTGAATCAAAATCTACATTTTATTTTATTTATTTATATGCGGTGCTGAGAATCGAACCCAGTGCTTCACACATGCTAGGCAAGTGCACTACCACTGAGCTACAACCCCAGTCCCCAAAAATCTGCATTTTAAAAAGTTTCCAGGTAACTAAATGCACACTGAAGTTTGATTATGCTCTAATAGGTAGAGAGGTGTTATAATTATTCATAAGAGTATAGGTAGTCAAGGATTAGAAGGTACTTTGCAACATAAAAATAATGTAAATGGAGCCAGGGGCGGTAATCCCACAGGCTTGGGAGGCTGAGATAGGAGGATCACGAGTTCAAAGCCAGCCTCAGCAAAATGAGGCACTAGGCAACTCAGTAAAACCCTGTCTCTAAATAAAATATAAAAAAGGGCTGGGGATGTGGCTCAGTGATCGAGTGCCCCTGAGTTCAATCCCCTGTGCCAAAATAATAACAATAATAATAATGTAAAAGGAGATAATTCCTCCTACCCACACAAAGCACCTGGCCTGCTATAGGACCTTAATAAATGGCACTTTTAGATGACAGTGTTGTAGGTTTTTTGTTATTGGTTTTACTCAACAGTCTTCTTATGTCACATTTTGTGAACTAAAAAAAATAAAGAAATTATTTTGTTGTGCTTCCTTTTGAGTCAGACATTAAAACTGGTTAATTCATTGTTTTTCTTTTTGCCTCAGCTATCAGGAAGCATGCAGCTAAACTTAATACTCAATATAGTAATTTTATTAGACTAGCTTTCTTGAATATTTGTTTTTCTCTCTATGACTTTTATTTCCTATTTTATTAGGTTTTCTACTATGTTTCTTACAAATCATTTTAAAAATTTTTTTCTGAAAAGAAGGGTCCAAATGATAATGACAACTTCTAAAAACAATCTGTTCTTGTTTGCCAGACTCCAAAAATAAATAAGTTTAGGAAGCTAACCCCATATCTATTTTGAAGTATTCCTTTTCTTGTTCTTTTCCATATCTCAAGACAGGTAAAACCAAAGGCTTCCTGTCTGACCCCACCCGACACCAGGGAAGGTCTCAGGTGCCAGTTAGCTCCCACACTGGTGGTCTGCTCCTCCTCTGTCCCAGGCTGCATCACAGTAGCCCCTACACTCCAACCCCAGGAGTCATTCTGCCTAAGAATTCAACAAGAAAGCTGAAAGGCCCCAGCTCTTCAAAGGCATGCAGACCACCTTCCAATAAAGTTACTCACCGGCCCTTCAGCTGCTTTAGACTTCCTCTGTAATGAAAGAACAGTATGTGTTTACAGCCAAGCCTTGTTTTTACCCTAATTCCTGCACATTATCCCATCTCCAAACTAAATCAGATCCCTCTCATTCACTCTCAAGAAAGCTTGCACTTTTCTGTACATAATATTTATCAGTTTGTAATTCTGTACTTAATCATTGTCTCCCTTACCAGACTGTAAGCTCCAATTTAGACTTCTCCGGTCACCACTTTACCCCCAGTGCCTAAAGATGTTGGTAGGTAACTGGAGCACAATAGTTGTTATTATTGGATGGAAGTGTGATAAAAAGTAGAGATGCTGGAAAGACCAGAGGGAAGAGAACTAATATTTATTAATTATTTATAATATGCAGGCTTTGTTAGTGCTTTATGTGTATTATTGAATCCTAAGAATAATCCTTTTTATTAATATAATTCAGTAACAAAATCCACTCATTTAAAGTATAAAACTCAGTGGTTTTTAGTATATTTACTAGTTGGTGCAACCATTATCACTGTCTAATCCTAAGATGTTTTCATCACCCCAGAAAGAATGCTATGTCCCTTAGCAGTCACTGTCAATTCCTCCCTCTTCCCCCCCACAGGAAACTACTAATTTGCTTTCTGTCTGTATGGATTTGCCTATTCTGACATTTTATATAAATAGAATCAAACATATCCAAATGGAAGCCAGTCTTTTGTGTCTGGCTTCTTTCATTGTTTTCGAGGTTCATCCTGTTATCCTTCATTCCTTCTTAATATTCATTGTATGGATAAACACATTTTGTTTATCCACTCATCAGATGGTGGTCATTTGGATTGTTTTTACTTTTTGGCTATTATGCAGCTTTGAACATTTGTGTGCAAAGTTTTTATGAACATATGTATATTTTCAGGGTTTTTTAAATGAATTTTTATACCTTTATTTTATTAACTTATTTTTATATGATGCTGAAGATCAAACCCAATGCCTCACCCATGTGAGGCAAGATCCTTAACACTGAGCCACAACCCCAACCCATGTTCTCAATTTTACTGTGTATATATATACCTAGGGGTAGAATTACTGGATCATACGATAACTATGATTAACTATATGGAACTGCTAGACTGTTTCCATTGTCTAAGTGTTCCAATTTCTTCACATGCTAACCAACACTTTTTTTTTGTTTTTTGGGTTTTTTTTAATATTTATTTTTTTAGTTGTAGCTGGACACAATACCTTTATTCCATTCATTTATTTTTATGGTGCTAAGGATGGAGCCCAGGGCCCCACGCATGCTAGGCAAGCGCTCTACTGCTAAGCCACAATCCCAGCCCCCAAACCAACACGTTTAATTGTTCATCTTTTTATTGTAACCCTGCTAGTAAGTGGATTTTGATTGGCATTTTCTTTTTTTTTTTTTTTTTTTTATATATTTATTTTTTAGTTCTCGGCGGACACAACATCTTTGTTTGTATGTGGTGCTGAGGATCGAACCCGGGCCGCACGCATGCCAGGCGAGCGCGCTACCGCTTGAGCCACATCCCCAGCCCCGGCATTTTCTTAATAATTAATGATGGTGAGTATTTTTATATGCTAATTGCCATATACATATCTTCTTTGCAGAGATGTCTATTCAAATTGCCTGTTTTTAAAATTGAGTAAGTAAGGGCTGAGGGTCTGGCTCAGTCATAGAGCACATGCTTAGGGGGACTAGGGCTATGTCTGTCTGCCCACCTAGGATCCCCAGGCAGGTGACACACTGTGGAGGAGGGTAATTTACCTTTTCCATCTGCCTTGTAGTCATCAGGGAGGAGCTTGTCCTGCCGGTAGCCCAAAACAAAAGCCAAGAAGGAGAGGATGAGGGCATCGCCGATGCTGAGGATGGCCAGCATGAAGGCCCAGCGGATGGTACAGTGGCCCAGAGTGTACTTGCCTGTCTGCTCCCCACACATGCGTCGCACCTCACTTGAGTCCCAGCCGTCTGGGTAGACCAGGCAGCCTATCATTAAACCTGTGGCTAAGGGGGAAAAAAGGGTAAAGATGATGTCATGCTAGGGGTGTCAGCTCCCTACCTCCCACTTTGAATTACTCTTATTTTGTCACCTCCCTGGTCTTTGCATTAGCCTTGAGAGGAACATTAGGCAGCTTCTACCATTCTTCTTGTAAAACACAAGTGAAAAAAATGGGCTCCAAAATCTAAAAGCAGCTGGTCCCTGAGACCCAGCAGTCAGAGGCAGAGGCAAAGAACTGAGCTCTTTGGCCAGGGTGACATCTGTCACTGCATTAGGTAGTCCTACCAGCCCCTCAGCTTATCTCTTCATCTTGGATTCAAGGAGGCACTGCTTGCCCTGGCTCCAAAACCCTCTCAAATCTAGTCCCAGTGGCTTAGGGAGCTTGAGTCAGTCAGATCACAAGTTTAAAGCCAGCCTCAGCAACTTAGCGAGGCCCTGTCTCAAAATTTAAAAAAAAAATAAAAATGGGCTTGGGATGTAGCTCAGTGGCTAAGGACCCCTGGGTTCAATCCCTGGGAGGATGGGGGTGGGGGATCCAGCCCAGAGAACTTATCTCTCTGAAAATATATATTGTTCATATTTCAACATCTCAACATCTCGGAAATTAGTCTAATAAGAAAACATTAGTCCATAGTTTTGATTAGCAGTATTTTCCCTTTTTACAGTATACAGCATAATAATGTGTCCTGTAACTCAGAGATATTAGATTCAGTGACTACAAGAAGGCTTTCCAAGCCCCAATGCATGCTTTCTTCATGAACCTTCCATGTGAGCAAACAGGTTCCTCCTCCCCCATACCTAGTACTGCACAGTGCAGCTGCTCACACTTGCCTGAATTTAAAAATCCCCTGGAATATTCATTTTAAGTGCTGGAACTCAGGCCAAGGTTGGGCTCAAGAATCCTTGTTGTTAGAAGCACTGTTCCAGGCAATTTCTTTCCATAGGAGAGGTGGAAAACACTAGACCAGGCTGCCTGGATTTCAAGCCCACTGTTTTTTGCTAATTAGCTGTGTGACTTGAAGCAAGCTGCTTAAACGTTTTTTTTTTTGTTTTGTTTTGTATTTTTGCCTGAGTTTCCTTATCTGTAAAATGGAGATAATATCACCTATGTGTTGGGGTTATAGCAAGCTTAAATTTAGTTAATAATGGAAAGGAACTTGGGCCAGGCACAACATGAGGCATTCCATGAGGGTTAGCTACCGGGCACAGCTACTCAGTGTCCTACTGACTTGGCATTGACAAGGCAGCCTATCATTAAATTTTATTTTCCCCTTCTTCCCCCAATTTCTTCCATACCTTCCATGAAACCATTTTTCCCACATTAGCTTCAATAGGGTGAAGCATAGACAGGTGACATAATCCTAGAATGTGACTAGGGTGATCCCAACCACAATTGCTGTGCAGGCAGGGCCTTTATCTGTGCCACTTTCCCACCCTTGACCCTCTTTCCACAAGCTCAGGGGCCCCCTAGTCCCAAAACCATACCCTACCCAGAAGATGCTCAAAGAAGTATCTCATGCAAGCAAAAGTTACATTCCTTGGATCCAGCTTGTTCTTACAAGGAAAGTAAGTGGATCAAACATATGATGTAAAGACCAGGGTCCCCCCTCCTCACCTAAATATATTAACCTTCCTTTGATTTTTTATAAGATTTTAAAAATAATTTATACAGCTCTTAAAGGAATCACAAAAAAATTCATGTACTATCTTGATCATGACAAAAATTGCATAAAGTAAGCCAAATATTAATATCCCCCCTTTTACAGATTTGAAAATTGAGGTCTCAGAGAAATCAGGCAGCTTTCTCAGTCATCCAGCTGTAGTACTTCCTTCTGATTTTCCTGACTTCTTTTTTCTTTTTGGTACTGGGGATTAAACCCAGGGGGACTCAACTACTGAGCCACATCTCAGCCCTTTTATTTATTTATTTTTAAATAAATTTGAGACAGGGCCTTGCTACATTACCTAGAGTGGCTGGCTTTGGACTTGTGATCCTCCTGCCTCAGCCTCCAGAGCCACTGGGATTACAGGCGTGTGTCACCACACCTGGCCTGACTTCAAAATTAATTCCTTCCACACTAGATTGTGACATTTATCCAAAGGGCTGAATGTATTTAGTGGTGACATTTCAGACTTCTTGACAAAGTGAAAAGTGTTCAGGAAGACACTTAGGGTAAGGGAGAGGGAATCCTTCCACAGCAATTTGGTAAAATGTATAGCCCACCCTTGGCTGGTTGGCATGGCCTCTAGTTTAAGCAGCATCCTACAAATGCTGAAGGCACAGGTGAAAGTGGAAAGAAACTGCTCTTTTAGACTTCTCTTTCTCCCCAAAACTCTCCCCACAATCCCCTTCCCTGTCTATAAAATTTCCTATAGGGGTTCTGTAAAAGAATCCAAAGCTTCTGGCTTGGAAACAGGTTGTTGTTACTGTGGATGGGTGGGTTGCACCCCATCCATCCACCCCTGGTTCTGTGCATAGTTGGGGGACTATCCCATTTGTGTGTCTCAGAGCTCTAAAGAGACTAATACCTGACTCAAAGCAGGGTTGTGAGGAATAAGTATAGTCATGTAAAGAAAACACCAGTGTCTGGTACATGGTGAAAGGCCAATGATGTTAATTCTTGCTATTGTTATTGGCAATTCCTTCTGATGGAAGCCATCTTGCAGGATGTGGGCATCATAAGAGATATTCACACATATTTCCAGTACGAGGTAGGATTGTACTTCCTTGCCCCACTCTCTTGAGGTTATGCAAGGCCACATGAACTCCTTTGATCAATAAATGAGCAGAAATGTGTGCACTGCTAAGCTAGAGAATTTAACTGCTGGTGGGAGACTTTCCAGAGCTCTCTTTCCCTCTGCACATGTCAATGACAAGTGATGCTTTTTCAGCCTGGGGTTCAAAAGGAGAGAAGAACAATAAGCGTAGTGCCCCCAACTGATCCTCCGTGGGCAGGTAATATAAGCAAGAAATAAACCTTTGTTTCAAGCCACTAAGACTTAGGAATTATTACTGTAACAACATTTCCTATCTTACTGAAGAGGTTGTTTTCTGTTTTGCACATTTACTGAGTACCTACCATGTACTAGGTACTGTGCTAGGTGTTTTGCATGCATAATATCATCTCACCTGCACAAGAACCCCATTAAGGCATGGGGGCAGAAAAGATGGTGGAATGAGACGAGCATCATTACCCTAGGTCTGTGTGCACATATGTATGTCTACATCGTGTACAACCAGAGAAATGAAAAGTTGTGCTCCATTTGTGTACAATGAATCGAAATGCATTCTGCTGTCATGTATAACTAGTTAGAACAAATTAAAAAAAAGAACCCCATTCCTGTTGCTACATTCTATGGATTAGTACAATAGACTGAATGTTTATGTTCCAAAAATCCATATATTAAAATTCTAACTCCAAATGTAGCAGTTATTACAAGATGGGGCTTTGCGGAACTAATTAGATCATGAAGATGGAACTCTCATGAATGGGATTAGTGCCCTTACAAAAAAAGATCTAAAGAACCTTCTTGCCCTCTTTCCATTTTTGAGGACAAGGACAAAGTTAGCAGTCTGCAATGGAAGAGGGCTTTCACCAGAACCGGGCTGGGTTGGCACCCTGATCTCAGGCATCTAGCTTCCTAAACTGTGATAAATAAATTTCTGTTGTTTAAGCCCCCTGGGCTCAGATGATTTGTTGTAGCAGCCCAAATTGACTAAGACATGAGCTTACCAAGACCCAGAGAAGACAAGCAACTTGACTTGCCTATGGCTTTAGGAGCTAGGACCATATTCAGCCTATACCTGGCCTCCAGATGCTCAACTAATATTATTAAGCTACAACCCCACATTGCCTCGTTAATCAGATCTTTTATCCCTGCTCTAACACTTCCCTGCTCCCAGCCTAGTGGGCAAAGTTAAGCGAACTTGTTTAGGTTTCTGTAAATTAATGTGTCTCCCAGCTGCTTGCTGTGGGGTGCACTCCCTCCTTATTCTCCTCTCTTTGGCTCATCCTTCCTTCTCCAACACAGCGGAATGGAACACGATACCACCTTTGCCTTCTCCAAAGATAAATGTTTCATACGATTGCACCTGGCTACCTCTGCTATCAGTGTCACTAGTTCTGTGACCCAGATAGGGTCTGACTCAAATAGCCGGCTGACACCTCCCCCACCCAGGCCTTCCTGGTACTGCTCAGCAAATGGCACCTGTTGCAGACATTGGGGTGAGGGGTGGGCAGCACTGGGAATAAAAGAGGAATGGTGTGTCTCCAGCATTCCATCACCCTGATGGAGAACCAGCTGGCAGGCACATCAGAGTCCGTGCTATTCCTCTTTGGCACAGAACTGCTATCTATATCTTCAGTCCTGTCTTTTATCTTTTCTTTCTTTCCATCTTTATTTTCTCTTCATCCGAAACCCTTTTTTATTTTGAGATAGGGTCTCATTAAGTTGCTGAAGCTGGTCTCAAACTTGTGATCCTCCTGCCTCAGTCTTCTAAGACCCTGGGACTTCATGTGTATGCCATCATACCTGGCTCCCCTTCTTTCTTGATATGGCCACCCTCTATTCTTGTCTCCATTACCCACCAAATTTTGCCTCACTCCTGTCCTGGTCTCTCCCTCATCATATAAAGAGACTACAGAGGAGAGGGAGAGAGTGGGGATATCTAGAAGAGGTTCTGAAGTCAGGTTAGTGGCCTGGGTATAAGACTGGGAATCAAGAATCTACCCCCAAAGACAAGTTACCCACCAGCAGTCTTAACTGTTAAATGTAAAAATATTCACTTCCTGGGTTGTGATGAGGCTCTCCAGATGAAATATGTGAAAGTATCTTGTAAATCATTTTACTTATATAAATATGAGTCTCAAAAAGAGTGTCATTGAGGGCTAGGGTTGTGGCTCAGTGGTAGAGTGATTGCCTAGCATGCTTGAGGCCCTGGGTTTAATTTTCAGCACCACATTAAAATAAATAAATAAGAATAAAGATATTGTGTCCATCTACAAACTAAAAAAAAAAGAATGTCTTTTGGAGTATGTCTAGTTTTGGGGGACCTGATGCTTTATCTCTCCTACTTCTCAGTTGCCAGCTGATTGCCAAGTCTGACCCTCTCTCTCAGACCTAGATTCCTCATCTGCAGTTGCTGGTGGGATATAGCTCTCTGGGGACCCCTCCAATTCTGCACTATGTGTTTGGTGGTCTGGGATTCAGATTCCTGTTTCATTTTCTCCTGAGATAACACCTCATCCCGTTCTAACCAAAGATGTTGGGAGTTCCGCTCTAGTCTGCAGTCCCCAGCACTGTTCCTGAACATCCCAGCATGGACAGTCTGTGCCTTGGGATAGACAGGGATGAAGGGACCAAAGGCCACAGAAAAGATCTTGGTCCATCTCTTCCTGGGCTCTAGAGGAGAAAACAAAACAAAACAAAACAAAACAAAAAAACAGGTGACCCAGAGGAGAAAAGCACCAATAAGCCTGCGTGGACCAGGAGCAGGAAAAAGGGGAGGAAAATCCTTGCCTCGGGTCACCACAAATGGCTGCCTATCTCATATGGTTTTAAAGGACCCTGGACAGCCTCCCTCCACCTCACAAAATATTGCTCCATTTGCTGCCTGAAGTATGAAATCCTACACTGAGGGAACAATGATTCACTCTACAATGAGAAAGGGGAGTTTTGATGCAAGTTTCTAAGGGAGAGATCACACATGGTGTAATAGTTACACTCCAAAATACATGGCTGACCTTAGAAATGCCAATCAGTACTATTTAGGGTTGGAGAGAGGGCAGGAATGTGAGTACTGATAAGTGAGATAGAACAAATGCCCAGAAGTGGGAGATGAGGGCATCTAGAATGGTGACCCACACCACAATTTTGCGCCAGGGCTGAGTCCTATTCCCACAGGGCTGACAGTGGACGCTTCCTTCTTTCTTCTTCCTGGAGCTGCAACAACCTCTCAAAGTATGGTGTCCTGGGAGTCAGGACACCTGAGTTCTCTTACCAGGAGCTGTGTGCTCCTGCTCAAGTCACTGCTGTCAGGAAAGATAAGACCATCTTTGTAATATATGAAGTTTGAAAAGTTTGGTCTCTGAAGTCCTTTATGCTTCAATCATTAAGATTCCCTGTTCAGAATCTAAACAGATCGTTAAGTAGAAGACCCGGAGCCTCCACACAGGGTGGGATGATGTAGCCATGGCTGTGGCCTGCCCTCCCATCAACCCCGCTCGCTCACCTGCAGCCAGCTGCATCCACGCACAGATCTTGTAGACAGTGGCCGAGTTGCAGATGAAGAACAGACTGAAACAGATGATGGAGCCAATGATGAGGAACATGGCCAAGGCCACGAAGAACATGGCTGTCTTGAAGGCTCTGGAAGGGATGGAGGAGAAGTCCAGAGGGCCGCCCTTGCAGATGAGCTCGGAAGAGAGCACGTTGCCCACGCAGTAGGAGAAAAGGCCGAAGTAGCCCGCCTGGGGCGTATTGACGCTGTCACCGATCCAGTAGGGCTGGATGAAGAGGGCCATGACCAGCACGGAAAAGCAGATGGTGAGCGTGCCCCACATCACACCCACCGCCCGCGAGTTCCGCACATAGTTGGTGTGGTAGATCTTGGCTGCCTCCTGGGCGGGCAGCAGCTTCACCATGGTGAAGGCAGCAGGCCTTGGACCAGGCGCCTGTGGGCTGCCAGGCGGAGGCTATGTGGATGGAGGCCCAGAAGTGAGTCACTCCTCAGTGGGGCTTGGAAAGGAGGCTGAGGTCGGGGCACAAGGTGAGAATCCTTCCAGCGCAGGCGGGGAAGAGGATTAACTGGACAAGGGTGGCCTTGGCGTCCTCAGGTGAGGTTTGCCAGGTGCCTGTCTCTGCTCTAACCCGCCTATCTCCGGTGTTCTGCCTCCTCTCAAGGTCCTGCTGGCGCCACCCTGTCCCCTCCCGTTTTTCCAGTTCAGAGCTCCAGAGAGTCCCGCCCCCTTCGCCGGGCCGGGCCCTGCCCTCCTCCCTCTGGCAGAGAGCGTCGTTTCAGCACCGCGGCCAGCGCCCCGGGGCTCCGGGAGGGGGTGGAGCCGGACGGCCGAGTCGGGGGCGGGGCTGACTCGGCGGGGTGGAGCCGGGAGCCACCCGACCCCGCGCGCCCACTGCGGGGACCTAGGACCCCTCTCACCCTCCTGCAGCCGACAGGAATTGGGAGGGCTGGGCTGTGGCTGCCACGTTTCTCTGCTCAGTTCCAATCGCAAAACGGCTTCTCCCACAAAAAGCCCCGACCACACACTACCCACCCCGGTCTGGCTCCCCGTCGCCCTCCCGGAGTCCCCAACCCCCACCGCCAGAGGTCAGCAAAATCTTTCCTGGTTATGTTTTCTGGTCCCTTTGGTTCAGTCAACAATTGCAAAGAGCCTAGTTAGTATGCATTAAGCTTGTGTTGGAGGATAACTTCCAAGCAAAAGCCACAGAGATAAAAAGACAGGAACCCTGCCCTCAACGGCAGTGAGACACGTACGCTGATAATGTATGTAGTGTGTATGAAAATACCACACGCAGACCGAGGACAGAAGGGACTAGAAAGCGCAGCAAAGAGCATTCTTCATGAGCCTTCTCAGACCTTAACATATGCTCTTTGTTCAGTGCAATGCCTTTCTCCCTTGTTTATGTATTTTTTTTTTGGTATATACACACAAAATTTGATATATTTTATATATTTCCCTTTTAAAAACATATTTCTCTTAATTTTATGGGTAACTACATGGCTACTGTAGAGAAGTAGGAAAATTTAGGAAAGTATATGTGAAAGAATAAAAATCCTTCCTATCCTCCATCAAGAGCTCAGGAAAGATAAGACCATCTTTAAAACACAAACTTTGGCTTTAGATCAACCTGGATTTGAGTCAGCCACTTACTAGCTAAGTAACCATCCATAGGTTAAAACTTCCTGAGCCTCAGTTTTTTCACCTTTAAAACAGGGGTGATGATTTTATCCATCATGTAAGGCTTAGGTAACTGTAAAATGTTTAGCCCAGAGTATCACATATGAAGTATTCAAAAATGCTGATGAGGGGGCTGGGGTGATGGCTCAGCGGTAGAGCGCTTGCCTCGCATGTGCAGGCCCTGGGTTCCATCCTCAGCACCACATAAAAATAAATAAATAAAATAAAGGTATCGTGTCCAACTACAACTAAAAAATAAATATTAAAAAAATGTTGATGAGTATTGCCTCTGTTAACATGGTGCATTTCCCTCCTGCACATACTGCTTCATACAGATAATAATGTATATACAATTTTATATACAATTTTTTCTCTTAGCATTATACCATATAACATTTTGGCATAGTACTTTTCCCCAAAACATTATTTTAATACTTGTGCGATGATGTAACATTTGTTGTACGTACCATAATTATTTAATCATTTACCTGTTGGCATGTTTGGCAATTTCTACTTTTGCTCTGTTCAAAACAATTCTGCCTTGAACATATTTGTGCTATTTCCCTCTTTCTCTTAAATCTCTTTTTTGGTTTTGTGACCATCTTCAATATCAGACTGAAAGTTCATCAAGGTCACCACTCGCATCTCCACCATCAGACTGGAAGCTTCCCTAGAGCAGGGGCTGAGTGTTTCCTCAATCCGAAAAGGCCTTAGGCTAACTACAGCCAAACTCTTAGGAGTTGGTGGATACCCCTCATTTGGCCACCACGTACACCCTTCCCCTGCCTCCCCAGCTTCCTGAGGTTCTGGTTAGTCAGCCAAGCCCAAGGCATGCAGACCCTTGAGTACTGATCTGAGTGGCTCATCCAAGCTGGATCAAGTGGCCATCAGTCTTTCACTGGGAAACCTGAATTGCTGGTGGATGGGCATGAGGGGAACAACAGTGTTGCTTTGTTGGATCTTGGCAACATCCTCAAGAAACAATCCATGAGCTCTTACTACTGGGCCTCAGCACCACTCTGATTCCTATGCCACCTAAGGAACAGGTTGCCCTGTTCCTTCTTCAGCTCTGTGAACCAACTAATTTCAATCTATTTTCTTCCATTTTGCTTTAATTAGCCAGAGTAGGTTTTGACTGTTGTCACCAAAAAGCCCTATATGATCCAAATATTGGCACCAGAAAGGGAGTTTCCTGCCTAGGCAACAGGCTCTGAGACGCCTGTTTATGTTCAAACTGGGAAAACAGCAGGCCGCCGTGCACAGAGGAGAAACAGCTACTCAAATATCAGCTGTGAACACCAGGGCCATGTGCCTTCTAGGGTCAAGTTCTGAGAACTGAATGACTTGGGCCATAGAGAGGTAGAAAGGGAATGGAAACATCAAGAACACTGAATGAAGTGACTACTTACAATGGCATTGAATAATGTCATGCAAGATAAGCTCAAATGTCTAGATCATTGATTTAAGAGATAAAATGAAATTCAAAACCTTTATGTAGTGTGGCTCAAAGAATCATCTAGGACTCATTGCTACAAAATATAGGATCATTAAAGTAAGATCCAGGGATATGAGGGTGCTGAACTGCATAGCCTCAAACCCACCCCATGTTCCTGGGTCAGTAGACCAGGTCACCTCAGGAATGGGTAGACCCTTGGCCTAAAAAGTAATGTATTAAGAAGATCTGGGGTCACAAGTATGCTCCACTGTGCCCAGCTTCGTGTGTCTCTTATAATAACACTTTTCATTGGATTGAGGGCCCACCTAGATCATCTTGTTGGATCTCCATTTTTAAAAATTCTTAATTTACTTACATCTGCAAAGAATGTTTTTTCTTTCTTTTTTTTAATATTTCACTATTATATTATTGATGGACCTTTATTTATTTGTTTACATATGATGCTGAGAATCAAACTCAGTGCCTCACACATGCGAGGCAAGCACTCTACGACTGAGCCACAAACCCAGCCCAAGAATATTTTCTCTATAAAAGATAACGTTCATGAGTTCTTGGGAACAGAATGTGGATCTTTCCCTGTCCCCTGACTTGGCTAAAAGTTAATGGACTAAGAAGATCTAGTCCAAAGCCTCTGGTGCTCAAAAGAATAAATCCCAAACAGTATTATGTCTAAGGAGACCTGCAGAAATTAGTTACTAGCAATGACTTGAAAGATGAGGGGTGGTGACTCTATTTGTAATGAATGTTTGCCACATCGTTTGGTCCTGTTTGGGGCTGACCTGCATCTCAACCCCCTTCTTATTTTGGGGTGATACTCTGCTGGAGGAGAGCTCTGGTGTACCTCTGCTTTCACTGTGGAAGCTGAATGGGCAGGTCCCACTTCCCCTACCTGCTCGAGAGAGCTCTGCTGGCATGCTGGCTGGTAGAAGAGGGCCACCGCAGCATGACATCCTCACTCAGGAAGGCCCTTGGGACTTCAGGGAAAGGAAAGCTCCATGGAGCACAGAATTCCAAGTGCTAGTACAGCCCCTGAAAGATCCACATGTATTTCCAAGAACCTGTGAACATTATCTTTTTTTTGGAAAATATGCTTTGCAGATGTAAGTAAATAAATTTTCAAAATGGAGATCCAACAAGATGATCTAGGTGGGCCCTAAATTCAATGATAAGTATTTTTTTAATTTGTTCTTTTAATTTTTTTTAATTTTTTTTAGAGTGAGGAGAGAGAGAATTTTTTAATATTTATTTTATTTTTTATTTTATTTTTTTTTTAGTTTTCGGCAGACACAAGATCTTTCTTTGTATGTGGTGCTGAGGACCGAACCCAGGGCCTCACACATGCTAGGTGAGAGCTCTACCGCTAAGCCACAACCCCAGCCCTGTTCTTTTAAATTATACGTAACAGTAGAGTGTATTTTGGCAAATTATACATAGATAGATTATAATTTAGTCTATTTGGGATCCCATTCTTGTGGTTGTACATGATGTGGCATTACTCTGGTCTTGTATTCAAATACAAGGCTAGGAAAGTTATGTCTGACTAATTCTACTGTCCTTCCTATTCCTCTCCCCCTGACCTTCCCTTCATTCCCCTTTTAATGACAAGTGGCACAGTGAAGCACACTTCAGCAACCTGCAAGGCTGAGGCAAGAGAATTACAAGTTCAAGGCCAGCCTCAGCACTTTAGCAAGATCCTACCTCAAAATGAAATTAACAACAATGATGCTTGCCGCCAAAAGACAGAGACAGAGAAACAGACATATATTAAAGGATATAACAGAAAAAAAAGGTGACAGGACCACAGAGTTAGATGGGGGAGTTGTGGCCACAGCCAAGGAAGGCAGCAACCACCTGAAACAAGAAGAGGCATGAGCGGGGCGGGGTGGGGCGTGTAGCTCAGTGCCGAGCTCACACATAGCATGTGCCAGAGCTGGGTTCAGTCCCCAGCCCAAAAAGATGGAAGGAGCAGGAGGAAGAGAAGAAAGAGAAGGACGAGAGTGACCAAGTGGATTGTTCCCCAAATCCACTGCAGGGAATGAAGACCTGCCAACACCGTTATTCTACCGTTGGCCTCCAAAATTATGAGAGAGGGGGCTGGGGTAAAAATCGCTTGCCTAGAATGTGTGAGGCTCTGGGTTTGATCCTCAGCACCACATAAAAATCAACAAATAAAAAAAGGTATTGTATCCACTTACAACTAAAAAATAAAAAATAAAAAAATTGTGAGAGAATAAACTTCTGCTGTTCCAAGCCACCATGTTTGTTATGGCAGCCTCAGGAAACTAATACAACACTTACGAAGTAAGGAGAAAGGGCCTGAGGCACCCATGACACCGTTTTGTGGGCAGTGACTGATGGACCAGCTAGATGATCAGCATCTAGGAGGGGTAAGTTTGAAAAATTAGGTTGAGGGGGAGCGTGTGGTTGGAACCCTGGGAATAGGGCAGAACTAGAGTACGTGGGTCTTATGGGAATATTCTCCAGGAGATTGGCCCTGCAGAGGAGGCTTTCACGTGGCTCACAACAATACCAACAAACCTTGTGTCCCCTGGTATGACATCCACAGCTCTCAAAACTCAATAATAAGAAAACAAACAACCCAGTTTTA